TCCAAATTAGATTCGATTTTTAATTGGACATTCTTGAATTTTTTTAAAAATTTATTTTCTATTTTTCTTCAAAATCGTTTTAAAATGATAAAAATAATGGGTTTTTAGATTTAATTTCAAAAATAAAAAACTTGACCGGAATTTTTTTTCTCATTATTTTACCTATTTTTAATTTTAATTTCTATAAATATAAGCTTACCAAGAGAAGTCAAATAAGAAGATTGAATTCAAACACAGAGGGTGTATTATGGAAGAAATTAGAACCTTCATGAAATTTTATGTGATTGAGTGAAAACTAAAATTTAAATTTTTGATTAAAAATTTTATAAATTCAACTTCTGATATAATTTAAAATAATTGTATAAAATTTAAAATCAACTTCTAAAATAGTTAGTGAAATTTAAAATTTATTTTCTAACTTATTTATATTCAAATAATACTCTTTTTCTTAAACTTTCAAACTCATATTTGTGACTAACAAAATATTTTTCGTGTCTAACAATCTTGGTCCTATTATATGGATGGAATGTTTATAGTAATTAATCATATCAGTGGTCTAATTGATGTGTTCCATCATTTGCATGTTAAAAAATAATATCAAATTAAATAACCCGCAAAGGCTTCATGATTGAAATGAATATTTTTTTGCTCATCATCATCAGTCATTTTTCATGCAAGTTGAACTTTTTTTACGATTTTAACTCATTTTAGTTTTCATCTTTGGTGTATCTTTATAAGGACTTGAAATGTATTGATAAATTGGCACATTTTTAGAATAATGTTTTCTGACATTTTAGACATGTTTTATGGAAACTCCTATATATTAAACAATACAACTTCAAGACCACTTGATTACTTACTTAAATTAATTAATTACAAAGATTTATGAATGAAAATTCATATATATATGGATCAAAATCAATACCAAAAATATATATGAAGGGAAAATAGTTATACTCGGAGGTGACTTTTAGAAGATCCTTCCAGTTACCCAGAGCTTCCAGAGAGAAAATTGTAGGTGCTACTATCAATTCCTCAAATTTGTGGTCGTGTTGTAAAGTTTTTACATTGTCCAAGAATATGAGACGGAAAGCTACGTGAGGTGATTGATGGAGTTAGTGATGTCGATATTCCGCCTGAATTCTTAATTCCTGACACAAGTTCACCTATCATCAAGAGTATAGTAGACTTCACTTATCCGAATATGTTAGAGAATATGAAAAATTATTTTTTTGAGGATAGAGCACTATTGGCACAAACTCTCGAAGTAGTTGAAATGATAAATGAATTTGTCATATATCTTATTCCTGGTGATGAAAAGGAGTACTTGAGTTCTGATTCTTGCCAATCAAATGCAGATGTAGGTGTTGATGGCGATTTGATAAGAGTGGAGTTTTTGAATGAAATCAAATGTTCGGGAATCCCCAACCACAAAATAGTTTTGAAAAAAGGGTGCCGATTAAGCTTTTGAGGAAGATTCACCAGACATTTGGATTGTGTAATGGAACCAGATCAATCGTTCAAGAGCTGCGAAACAATGTTATCGGTGCAATTGTGGTGTCGGGAAATTGAGTCAGGGAAAACGTTTACATCCCAAGAATGAATTTGGTACCATCTGATCCAGTACTATCCATGAAGTTCCAAAGGAGACAATTCCCAATCGTCTTACGTTTTGCTATGACTATCAACAAAAGTCAAGGTCAAACATTGTCATTTGTGGGATTATTTTTAAATAAGTGGGTGTTCACACATGATTAGGGATGGCAACGGGTCGGGTTCGAGTCAGATAGTACTATCCCCGAACCCGACCCAACTTTTAAAACCAAAACCCGACCTTTTAAGCTAAAAACCTGACCCGACCCGAAACCGGCATTTCAACCCGAAACCCGAACGCGACCCGAACCCTACTTTTAACCAATAATCAATTCGACGTACCCCAATAATTTTGAAAATATTAAATCTAATTTTTTGTCTCTTTTTTATGTCTCATTTTTTACCAAGGAATTATAAAAATGATTATAAAAGGCATACTTGATATAGTAGCACTTTGTCAAGAGATTATACAGAGTGCTCATTATATCTATAGATAGGCTTTTATGTAATAAAATATTCGGGTTTTAGTCGGTCGGGTGTGGGTGCGGGTCAGGTCAGGTAAAATTATAAATCCACGCCCGACCCGACCCGATGTCGGGTTCAGGTAAAAAATTTCGGGTCGGATTCGGATTATTTTATTCTCGGTTCGGGTTTGGATATTTTAGTGGTCGGTCGGGTAGGTTAAGCTCGGGTTTGGGTAGGTTAAGCTCGGGTTCGGGTTGAATTGCCATCCCTACACATGATCAACTTTATGTTGCTGTTTCACGAGTAAAGACATAGACGAAATTAAAAATATTAGTTCTAGATGACAATGAAAACCATTGCAATCATACCAAGAATGTTGTATACCCTGAAGTCTTTCAAAAAATTTGGTATTAAAATAAATATTGTTCAGTCTACGTTCAATTGCTCGAATATTATTAAGTCTACTTTGGCATTTTACACCTATTGTTATAAAAATCATGTGAGAAATATATTTTCTTTATTCCAAAACATAAATTTCGGAACAAATGTTAGAATCGAAAAAAGTTGTGCATTACCCCGTGCATCACATGGGTAGAAATACTAGTTCTATTATTAGTGAGATTTAGGTCATGTTCTTTAGGACTAAAAAAAAAGAGCTGGATGTTGAAAGAAATTGGAAGGAACTGGAAGAAATTAGAAAAATTGAATTTTTTTAAAAAAAACTGAAAAAACTAGAAAAAATTGAAAAATCTTAAAAAACTTTAAAAAATATATGTGTGGTTTTATATTATTGTCATTATGATTCTTGTTGTTATAGATTATTATTATTATTATTATTATTATTACTATTATTATTATTCTTGTTGTTGTTGGTGGTGGTGGTGATGGTGATGGTAGTGGTGGTGTTATCACGTTATCTTAATGATTGTCTTTAAGAAAAAAAATATTACGAGTATTATTTTTCATATATAAAAAGCTAGTTTAAAAAATAATAATTAGAATATAAAATTAGCATAAATATTACACTTCTTGGGTTATTTTTTCTTTTTCAAAATGTAGTTTTCTTTTGGTTTCATAATATTATTCTTCCAGGCCCTTAAATGTAATTTACCTTATATAAATTTAGATTAAAAAATATTTTATATAACTATTTATCCATAATTTTTTAAATAGTTTCCTAATTTTTCATGTAGATTAATATACAAAAAAACGGTATTATTTATATTAAAAAGTTGAAGAAACTGGAAAAATGAACGTGAATCATAAAAATAATGAGATGAAAAAATGAAATAATTTATAAACTATAGTTATGAACATAAAAGTTGTAATTAAAAAAAGTTGTAATAATAATAATAATAATAATATATTTTTTTAGAGTGATTTATCAGAAAGTAGAAAGAATTTGAAGAAAAAAATATAGTTGAAAGAAATTAGAAGAAACTGGAAGGATCTGGAAAAAACTGGAAGGATCTGGAAAAAACTGAAAGAAGTGTAAGAAACTGGAAGGAATTAAAGAAACTGAAAATTAAGAGTTCATGTTCTAAAAAACAGGCTAATAAGGGGAGGGAATTGAATGACTAAAAGTGGAAAGGAAAACGCGATGGAAAAGCATTGCAGTTTGCAGGTTGCAGAGGAAACGATCAGATAATTTGATTGGGCCGGGGCTGTTGTCTTCCTTCCCATGACTTGCCCCTCAACCTGTCCAATCATCCACGATAGGCCCCATCTCTCTTCTCCTCTCTCAACTATCAAGTATCAACTCTTGCCGACTATAGTATTTTAATTTACCTTTCTTTGATAATTCCCCATCCAAATTTTGATTATAATTTTTTCACTCTCTCTCAATAACTTTTGTTTATTTATTTTTTTCATTGATAAAATAAAAATATTTTTGTCACTTCTTGTTTTGTAAAAACTTTTGTCATAATTTTTTATTTATATACCAATTAGTAAAAAAAGAATTTTAAACATGAAATATTTTACCTCGTGAATCTCAATTTGTAATAAAATTTAGAATGGAGAGAGTATTATATTTCTGGAAAATAGCCCAAATACTATGAATAGTTGTATCTAGAGGTGACAATCGGATCATTTCCGGTTTGGAATAATTTGATTTGGATATTTTTTGAATATATTATAAAAGGTTTGATTGAGACCAGTTCGGTTCAATTTTGGTTTCGATTCAATTCGATTCTATACATTTTCGATTTCAGATCTGTTTTGGGTCGGTTCAAATACGATCGATTTTGATCCATTTTTAGTTTCGGAGACATTCGTGTTCATATATATTTCCGTTTAAGATATATTTCAGTTCAGGTATATTTCAATTGTATATTTTGAAAGTATTTTTATCATGTCGCATTTATCAATCTATCGTCAATTCATCACATCATGTTATTTTATATTTTTTCTAATTATACTCCCTTCGTCTTAAACAACTTTCCGATTTTTACTTTTTAGTCTTGTTTTACAAAATTGGGCTATGAATTATGAAAATATATATTTAATTATGATATAAATTTAATACAATTTGATTGAATTTTAATATGTATATTTGGTATATTGAATTTTTATAACATCTATTATCTGTATGTTTATATATGTAAAGATAAAAGAAAAATCTCAATAGTAGAGGTGGCAATCGGATCAACCGGATCGGTTTCGGGTTGGATTTTTTCGGTTCGAATATCTTTCGGTTATATGTTATAATCGGTTCGGTTCGGATCGGTTAAATTTCGGTTCGGATTTGATTTCGGTTCTATACATTTTTTGGTTCGGTTCGGTTTCGAGTCGGTTCAGATACGGTTCGGATAGATTTCGGTTCGGATATAATTTGAATCGGATATATTTCGGTTTCGGGTCTAGTTCGGTTCGGATATATTTCGGTGTCGGATCAAATATATTTTGGATATATATTATTTTCTAATTAAAATTTAACTATTCGTGTTTCTTTTTATGTTTTATCACATTTATCAATCTATCATCAATTCAATACCTCATATTATTTTATATTTTTTTCTAGTTATATTATCTCTACCCTAAATAATCTTCCCTTTTTGACTTTTTAGTCATATTTTACAAATTTGGACTACAAATTATGAAAACATATATATTTCATTATGATATAGATTTAATATAATTAAATTGATTTTAAAATTTAGTTTTGAAATATCAAATCTTTCTCACATCTACTAATATACTTATGTATATAAATGAAAGGATAAAAGATAAATTCAAATACTCTTATGTTTCATTTGAATACAATTTGGTAAAAATTGAGTGAAATTGGATGAAATTAAGTGAATTTTATTCAATTGAGTGCAAAATTTGTAAATTGTTGAGTATATTTGGTTGAAAATAGAGAAAATTACTACTCACTCCGTCCCGCAAAAAACTTCTCATTTTGACTTTTAAAAGATTTAAAGGGAGTGTATTTTGGTATCGACTTTTTAAAAATGTCCTTTGATGTGATAGATAAAGTAAGATGTGATGGGTAAATTAATATAGAAAAAGTATGATGTGATTAGAAAGGTTAAGAATTATTAGAGGTAAAAGTGACTTTTTAATAGAGAAAGGAAAGTATTTTTTGGGACAAATGAAAAAGAAAATGAGAAAGGTTTTGTGGGACGAAGGGAGTAGTAGTATTCATTAATATTATTGTTGTTGTTGTTGTTGTTGTTGTTTCTATTATTATTATTATTTAATTCATATATATACATAAAAAAGTAATTAAATTTAGATTATCAATATAACAAAGAGATAGCATTTTAATTAAAATATCTCATCCTTATAAAATATCAATATGTGCTTTGTACTACGAAACTTTTTTTATGATTAATATAACACCATATATATTTCAATTACAATAAAATATTCTTAGTATATGAATATTAAATGTTAATTTTATTTAATTCATGATCAAAGTTAATTTTATCTAATGTATTCCCTGTACAATGAGAGTTTGTATCCTCTTTGAGAGGAGGTAAAGCTTGGTGCACTCTTAGAATGCCCATTCAAAGCGTAATTCTTTCTTTATATATGGGAGTGTGTGTGTGTGTGTCCTTGGGTACAAACACAAGAGCGTGTTGTGTGTACCCAATAATCAAACAGCCGCGCGAGGAGGAACTTGCGGGCTAAGCTTCCGCCACATACAGTATAGACTAATTAATTAGCTCAAATAATGCTATAATTCCCCCTTAAAAATTCAAGAAATATAATTAAGCACATACAAAATCACAGAGCAAAATTGAAGAGGCCGGAAAGGAGATGGAAGGCGGCGGCGGCGGGTGTGGTGTGAAACCGGCGTGGCTGGAGCGGTTGACGGCGGAGGAGTCGTTCTTTGCCGTGTGCGGGGCCCACCAACGGCGGAGGAAGAGGAACGAGAAGAACATATTCTGCTTACTCTGTTGTCAAAGCTTCTGTCCTCATTGCCTCCCTTCTCATCAATCTCACCCTCTTTTACAGGTTTGTTAATTCTTGTACCCACACCACCACAAATTAATACTTCTTCACAATCATAAATAAAATTAGTTAATTTATATACCGAGTATTAAAAAATCATTCATATCATAATGTAATAAATTAGCCTAAAACAATTTTAAAATAAATTTTAAATCATAAATATTAAGCTTGTGAATTTTCTGACTATATTATTTTTAAAGGTAACATTGCTAAAAGAAAATCAAACTATAGGGTTATTTATAGTAATAAATTTCATGGAATGGAAGGAGTGTACTCCGAACTATACTTTCTTTTTTTGGAGTTGTTTGAGGGTATTCAAATGATTTCATCCCATTTTGTGTGTTCATTTGGGAATAGTTTAATTTTAATTTTTGAAAAAACTATCTAAATAAATTAATCTGTATCATTAAAAAAAATTATTTAAAATGCTAATGTTAATTTAAAACATTGGTCCAAACAACGCCTTCATTAAAACACCTAAAAACTACTTTCTTCCTTGCAAAATTATATTCCTAGTTAGGTTACCTCATCGGTATATTATTCTTCTATCCTCTAACTATGTCTAAATTATAGACTTTTTATTTTGTTGAGTTTTGTACACGGCCTTTTTTTTGTAACGCACTCACTCAAACATAGAAAAATTGTTTTGGATGGATAAATGTTGATTTCAATACTTCTCTCTTTCATATTAATTGTCTATTAGTATTCTAATTATACATTACAAAATGAATAAATGTAAACATAAGATATGTCTACGTTCATTCATTTTTTTAAGTTATCTTAATAATGAGAGCAGCCACTCAATATAAAATGAAGTGAGTATACGAAAACTTTACTAATTAAAATAAAAGATGATTCTATGGCATTCTTCATTTAAAGTCCCGAAAATTGTTCCATTCGTTCCAAAATTAAATTCTTACATATGCTACTTCATTGGTAATAATGTTTTTCTATCTACCAGTTAACCGTGTTTAAATTATACTATAGGAGAATTGTGAAGAGTGCTTCTTTAATTTGGTGCACCCTGAGTGCATATCAATTTTGTAGACCTTTTTAAATAAAAAAAATCTCTTTTTGATTTTTTTATTTAAAAAAACAAATACTTATTTAAGGAGTAAATTAAAGAAATACTTGTTTTACTCATATATATAGGTCCATATATGATAGACCTCAGGTCTATTTGCCAATTGTGAATATACTTAATCCGTCTTAGAATATTTCTTCAATTTTTATTTTGAACGGCCATTACCGAACTTTGACCTAAAAATAAATAAAAACTATATTACGGAGTATATATTAATGAGATAAAATAATATTTTAAAAATATTTTACAAGATAAAGTTAATAAAATTATTTTTTATATATCTAATATGAATTTTATTTAAATTTTAATCCAAGTTTATCATAAAAAAATTATTTTAATATAAAAATTTTGAAAAATTTATTTGGATAAATGAAACGACTTTTAGTCTTATATATTTCTTTCTCTTTATTTTACAACGGAGTAGTGTATTCTAATTTCTAAGAAAGTTTTTTTTAAAAGAAATAAAATCCCCCAAAATTTTGCTCACCCGGTTCCACACCAGTTGCTTTCATGGACAGTTTGACCAAATGCTAGACTATTTTGTCTCTGTTCTGTAACTATCTGCGCAACCATTCATCACTTAATTCACAGTAACTTTATGTTCCAAATACTCCGATCACATGTATTTACACACGTGAATTTATCATTAATTACATCCTTAGCTCATTCCGTCCCAAAAATTGACTGATGAAGCCATATGTGAGGGGTCTCTCAAGACCCATTCGGAAGGCCACTTACCAGTAATTAAACTCGTGCGTACACCCTTGACACCCCTTTTCTTTGGACTTTGCCAATTCTGCAACGCTCACTCACCCTGTTTGACACTTCTTCTACATCCGAAAATCTTTTTTCCATTTCCTTTTTTGGTCCGTTCAGAAATATTTTTCCTAATTTCTTTTTTAGTCTACCTTCAAAGGATAAATTTCAATAATATATCTTTCTATTTTACCATTAATCTACTTTTTTTACTACTTTTTTAATAAGAAAAAGGTTTAAAAATTTATAGTACGTGCATCTTTAGAACCTTGACATTTTTTTTACACCTTCTTAATAAGCATACCAAATAAACAAGTGAAAAACATTTTCGGACGGAGGGAGTATAATAATATAGAATTATCACATACATCTTATTTTATATACTCCCTCCGTCCCCAATTTGATTACAAATTGCGGGTTATGAGAAAAAATTTCTCACTTTTTGAAATCATTTTATTTACGAATTTGTATATTAATAAGATATAAAATTACATATTAAAAAACTACATCAAAAGTTCTACAAAACAAGAGGTGATATAAAATAATTTCATTTTATCAAATATTTAATGAAATCACGTAAATAAACAAAAGTTATCGAGAGGGAGAAAAAAATTGTAATCAAAATAGGGACAGAGGGAGTACTTCGCAATTATGTATTCTCTGTTCTATATAAAGGTTTGACATTTCATACTTTGTCCATCCTAAAAATAGTTTTTTTTTATTTTTGTAAATAATTTTGTGGTGCTTATAGTTTATATCATCTCTGCATCATTTTCTACCACATAATTTCATTTTTCTTAATCTTTGTGCCGTCAAAGGTGAAACTATTATATCGGAGAGAAGAGTACTGCACATACTACGCAGTTTTTATTTTCTCCATATATGAAAATATATTTTGTAATTATATATCAACTTTCATATAAACTAAATTGAAAATAGCATCAATCAAATATCTTACAGAATAAAATACATAGTAATCCATAGCAAGAAAGTCTTTTAATTTTGAGACGTGGAAAATTACACATATTAGCTAAACTTAAATCTTTATCCAATAAATTTTCCCTCTGCTGATTAAAAATAACATTTCTTGTTTGATTTTTACTAATTAGTTTGAAAAAAAAGAAAATCTTATGATTAAAGTTTTGTTTAGAAAAGAGAAAAGTTGAGAGCTACTTGTCCATTTCATTAAAAAGAAAATAAAGTTTACTTTTGGGCAAAAAGGGAAAGTGTAAAAATTTTTGTGAAATTGAGAGTATTCATATTGAAATACTATCTCCGTTCTAATGTATTTGTCCAGTTTGACTTTTTGAGTCAAACTGGACAAACTTTAAACTCTAATTACTCTTAATTCATATTGCATATTAGCATAATGAAATACTCCCTCCGTCCCAAAAAAAATTACACCTTTCAAAAAAAATGTGTCCCACAATCTCCTACCCATTTCTATTAAAAAACCACTTTTACCTCTTATTTTTTCAAACCCTACCTATCACATCATACCTTTTTCTTAATAATCTACACATCACATCCTACTTTTACCCATCACATCAAGGGTATTTTTGTAAAGTCAACACAAAATTATCCATCCCTTAATTTTAACTTTAGTCAAATCGTGTAAATCTTTTTGCGACGCAGGTAGTACAATTTTGAAAGTTCTCAATATATACGATAAATCGAATAAAGTCATTTTTATGTTAAAATATATTACAATTTTTATTTAATTAGAGCTCAATGTTTGTCCAGTTTGACTTAAAAAAGTCAAACTGGACAAATACACTGGGACGAAGGGAGTACTCATTTTTAAATTTGGTAATTTAAGTATTCTTTTTAGCAAAATTGAGCAAAGAGTGATACCTTCATGTTTATCACCTCTTGCTTTGTAGAAGTTTTGATCTTGTTATTAAATATTTAAACTTTATTTTTTAATTTTAAACCTTCAATCAAATAAATTGAATTAAAAATAAAGTCGGTCAAACTTCGTAAACAAAAACGAGAAGAACATTTTAGGACAGAGAGAGTATTTTTTAGATTAAATTCTCAAAATGGTACTCAATAACCGAGATGGTACTCGTTAATTGAAAATAATACTCAGTTTAGTCTCCTGACCAACCGTCATCAAAATGGCATTCAAACGATATTAAAATTAATGCTTATGAAAAATGCTTTCCTAGCTTCGTTCAAACACCGTAAATCAATTAAAAGGAAAGAATCTTGTTTTGATTTTTATATTAAATTAGTTTTTATATCAAACATAGACTAATTTGAAAAACATCCAATTATAGATTATCAATTTGGAGAATTAGTATAAGTTAATGCCATTTTGACGACCGTTAGTTGGAGACTAAACTAGTCATTATTTTCAATTAGCGAGTACCATATCGATAATTACTTTTCCTAGAAAAATAATTTGAAAAATTACATATTTATTGAGTATTATTTTAAGAATTTACTCTACTTTTATGGATAAAAATGAAATGTTGGGACTAACTACTTTAGGCAATTTTTTTCCAAAGTGTAAGATGCTTTTCAAATTGAAGTCACGAGTCATATCATGTAACTTTGTCAGTAAATATTATGAATGAACATTAGGCGTGTACGTTTTTTATTTGATATTTTTGTCGCATATATGCTCAAATCATTCAACTCATTCAAGGGGTTAATTAGTTACTTACCCATTATTGTATTTACATACTTCTTAGAGTATCTCCAACCATGCTTGTTATATGGATTTGTTATTTTTACATTATAGCAAGTGAATAGTGATATAACAAGCACTTTTTTGCTTCATTCTCCAACCATTATTTGTTATTTCATTTTTTAAGTATTGGCTAGCTAAATTTTGAGAGACTTGTCATATTTAGCAAACCAAATTCATTTTTTGGCAAACTTGCTAAAATAAAGCATGCCCTTTGGAGAAGAACAAAAGTGTTTAACTAGTTATATTATAATTTTTAGCAAGTTAAAAAGATATGGTTGGAGATGCTCTTACATCCCAAATTATTTGTCACATTTCTATTACCGAGGAAAAATATCAAGTTTTTTCAATTTATTTTATTTACATATTGATAAAGAAATAAAAAATAAAAATTACATATCAAAAAAGTACATGAAAAGTTTTTTGAGATAAGAGGTGTCAAGAATATTTTATTTTATCAAATAACCAATGAAAATGTCGAAATAAACAAAAGTTCTCGCGACTGCTGAAAAAGTAAATGTTGTGAATATTTAGGGACGGAGGGAGTATTTTATTAGACATTAATTAACAAGAATACAAATTAAATGGTCTATAAAAAATACAAGATTAAGGTCATGTTCTTTTCAACTTATTTTTTTCACTATTACTTATTATTATTGGAATCAGATTAGATCAAATAAGATCAGAAATAGCTTTAAATATAACTACATTTAGATCAGATCAGAACTTATTCCAATCAGACCAGAATCAATCAAATCAGGTGAAGAGAACATAGCCTAAATGAAAGAAGAAAATGTAGTAAAGAAAAGGAAAAAAAAATTCATCTATATTTGGTAAGTAAGGGCTTGTTTTCTTTAACTTATCTAATTGGTTTTGATCCAATTCGATAAATTTTTGATTTGATATGACCTGATTGCAATTATATTTAAAAAAATTCTAATATGATTTGATCTGACCTAATATTTATAAGAATAAGTAATAAATAAAAAGAATAATGATATGATTTAGCCTAGCGACTATGGTGACACGAAGAACTTTGAATGAAATAAGGTTAGATCTCGAAAAATATGCTTTCAGTAATTTTTGTATCAGGCTCCGTTCCGTCCAACTTATTTTTTCTAATCTGATCTGATTTTTTGTAGTTCTGATATGATATGATCTGATTGGATTTTATCTGATCTGGTCTGATCTGATTGGATCTGATCTAATCTGATTAATTATGATTTGATTTAAAATTCAAATCAATAATTTGATTGGATTTTATAATAACATTTGAAAATTGAAATGATAATTCATATTATAATATAATCAATATTTTTATTTTATGCTTATTTTTTAATAAATAAAATTAGTCAATTCATATATTAGAATAATCATTCATATTATAATGTAATAATATTTTTTATTTTATGATTATTTTTTGTGAAATTATAATATTAATTTAATATTTTAAAAATTACTTCATATATACATTAAAATAAATATTTAATTTATATATACATTAAAAAGTAATTAAATTTAGATAATCAATACATAGTAGAGATAATATTTTTATTAAAATATCGCATCCTTATAAAAGATCAAAAATTTAGAAACTCAAATTACAGGTATCAATAAAAATGTATTTTAAAATTAGAATTATATTGACATTGTCAATTTATTTAAAAAATAATTTTTCCGACGTCTAATAATTAAGGATTACTTTCGCAGTTTTCTATTTAACTTGTTTCTAAAGTTTATTCTTTTTCATTTTTAAGAATAATAATAATAATAATAATAATAATAATAATAATAATAATAATTCTTGATGTGATCTGATCTGATCTGATTGGATCTGATCTGATTAAATCTTATCTGATCTGATTCGATCTGATCTGGTCTAGTTTGGTCTGATCTGATTTTAATAAGAATAAAATAAAATAAAAATGAGTTGAACGGAACGAGGATCACCCTCCTCCAATCCCACGACCAATGGGATTGCGCCTAGCTTCTATCTTCCGATCTGCCCCGATGGGCTGGGCTTAGCCCATTACTCCTCTCGGTCCTTGGGCTCAGATCATTCTTTGTAATTAGAGGTTGAAAATCAGTTCGTCTGGTCGGTTTCAGGTTCGGTCACTTTGGATTCAGGTTACTTCGTGTTCGGGTCAATTCGAGCTTGGGTTGAGAACTATATGTTCAAGACCGAGTGTTATCGGTTTCGGGACGACCTAAGGGGTCATGACTTTGGTTTTTTAAAATTTTAAATTAATATTAACACTTGCATTTTGCATTGAATAAATCTAAAATACCAAAAAAATATGTTCTAAATTTATTTGATTATTTTATTTTAAATTCTGAAGTAATTCTTAAATATATAAATCAATATAAAAAATTAAAAAAATACAAGTTTTAGAAAAAGTACAATAATTGTACAATATGATAATAATTTTGTTCGAAAATATAAATTTATACAATAAAAATGAGTAGTAACAAAAATATTTAATTATAACTTTATTTTTATAACATTATTTTTTTGTAAAGTATATAATTTTGAAAAATCTTACACCTGTGGGCTGGTCAGGTCGGGTTTTGTCGGGTTTGACTCTTTCTTAGCTGGTCCTTTTGGGTTCGCTAAACTTTGGATTCGATCATCAAAATCTTTGTTTAAAATCCAGTATTTCCGAATTGAGTTTTGGATAAAAACAAATCAGATTATTTTTTGTCAGGTCTATGTGTAACGATGGAATCATGCCTCACATCTAAGTTGAGCTCAAAATAACATGCTTAGGCCTTTTCAGCCCGCTTTATGATCTCAATATCCATCAAATAACTTGAATAAAACAAGCTCTAAAGGGAAACAAAACCTCTTCAATTTCCGTTTCTCATGCTAAATTGGATTTTACACATGGTTATGCCTATTGCCTAGAAAGTAAATAATCAAATTCGTCTTTATATCATTTGTGAAACCTTATTTGGAAAAAAAATTACAGAGTATATTGGATTACAAAATAGTAAGTTCTTCCACAAATTACATAAAGCCATAAAGGTTAAGGGTTCCATTTCTATTCACCCCCCTCTCTCTCTCTACACACACATACATACATACATACACACACACAAGCACACACACATATATATGTATGTATGTATGTATCTATATATGTGTGTGTGTGCGCGTGTCTATATCTGTGTGTCTGTAAAATTGAGTTTATTTGTTGTAGTGTTAACATATGACATGCCACATGTGCACCCATTAATGAGGTGGATATATGCATTTCATTGGTTCATTTAGATTTTTTTAAAGATTTTTTTAATACATTTTTGTAAAACTTTTTCATTTTTTAACAAATTTATAAATATGTATTTCACCATTGTAAAATATACTCCGTATTATATATATATATATATATATATATATATATATATATATATATATATATGATTATTTTTTTACTATCCAAAACTTATTTTAGTTTATTACTTCTCAAAAAATGATTATATAAATTTAATCACATATGCATATTTATTAATCAAATACTTTGTTTTAAAGTTTTATTTTATTACATCTTTATCTATTGCTACATATATTTTTCAACAAAGTAAATGGAATAAAGTTGGTTTAATCGAGGGGTGACAAGTGACATTATGTCCCATATACATTCTCTCATGATGTATCATTATTTAAATAATCCATTTTTTATTACAATATTTTATAAATTAAAACCATTTTTATTAACCAATAATTTTATATAAATTTTTTGTTTTAAATTAACATACTAATATGACTTCAAAAAAATTAATATACTAATATATATTCCACCAGTATAAAACATAGTTTGTGATTATTAGAAAACCAAAATAACTAACATTATATTTATAGAATTTAAAAAATTTAGAATATATACTAGCCTGTGCGAAGCACGGAGTTCACACTAATTTTTGGTATTTTGGTATTTTTCAGACTCATTATAGAATAATTTCTAAAAATTGAGAATCATGAAGATAATATCATAAAATTGAGGGTTAAATATAAAAAATCTCATTATAGAATAGTTTATAATGGTTGGATTAATTTGTAATTTGAAGTCTGTTGTGCCTTACTGGGACAGGTAAGGAGGTATGTCTATCAAGATGTCATTAGATTGGATGACCTTGAGAAGCTCATTGACTGCTCCTACATTCAGGTACATTATGGGCCTGTTTGGGAATAGCTTTAGAGATTAGCGTTAGTGTTTTGAAAAGGCTATCTACGGCCAGCGTTTAGCGTTAGCGTTTTCAAAGTAATCTGCACCGTTAAAATCTTATCCAAAACGCTAACGCTAATCTCTAACGCTATTCCCAAACAGGCCCTATATTCTACTTTTTTCTCTTTACTTCATTTTTACTCCCTCCCTCGTCTTTAATGTGTTTTTTAATTTAAAAATTGTAAAAGGAAGTGAAAATATGAATATATTATGTTTTGAGTTTATGTTTGATGTAATGAATTCAAGGCATTCTGATTGTGTATGTAATGAGTTGGAGATGATCTAAAAGCTTTGCTAATGCCAACCCATTTATTAAACCCACTTTTCTTTTCTTTCAATACTCCTTGTTTTTTTGTGGTGGCCCATTAAAAAATGGTCTTCAAACATGGACGTATATATGGCCCGGTCCATTTCCATCTCTAGTATACTATGTAGGAGAACCCACTACATGAGCTTTGAAAATATAATTAACCTAGGGATACACTAATATGAGGTATCCCATATGTACACCAACATGGGGTACCCCATATGTACACCAAGCCAACACAGACACACACAGGCACAAAATATCTGTGCTTCTCTGACATTTTGTGTATGTGTGTGTCTGTGTTGGCTTGATGTACATATATGGTAACCCATGTTGGTGTATCCCATGTTGGTATACTTTAAATTTGGATGATCAAATTACAAAAATATTTCTCAATTAATCATCATTTGAGTAACATTATTTACGAAGGACTATCTTAGGAATAAATCAGAATTATAGAGGACTACGTAAGTAATTAAAACTTATTGACTAATGATTTAGGAAAAACCTTATTACAAATTACCATTTTAAGAATTTACTCTATTTATAATATTATAATAATGTTTTGGCAGCCATACACAATAAACAGCGCCAAAGTAATATTCTTAAATCAAAGGACACAGTCGAGGTCTAGTTGCAAGGGCTCGGCCAATTATTGTTTTACTTGTGACAGAATTCTTCAGGCCCCTCATAGCTTCTGTTCTCTCTCATGCAAGGTATCTCTTTGCTCTTGTACTTCCATATTAATCTTTTAGGGTAAATTGGTACCTCTCTCTTATCATTTGGAAAACAACCACCAAAATCCCTCACATTTTAAAAAGAACAAATTTTACTGGATAGGAGTAAAAAAGTTTGGAAATGCCAAAATAGAAGTCATATGTCTTTTAAGGCCAAAATAAGAGTATGATAACAGTGTGGCGTCAGAATACGCATTGGCTATGTGATGGAAAAGTGATCAAAATGTAATATGTCAGCGTGATTGGTCAATCATCGGGGATCTGCTGCGGCACTCTGATGTCCGGCGGCGAATGACAATGTGGCGGTGATATTATGACGGTTATAATGTGACAATACGACGAGTGTGACAGTGTGAACTGCTATTTTAGTCTTAAAAGATTTATGACTTCTATTTTAGTATTTTGATAGCTTTTTACTTCTATTTAGGGAGTTCTCATCTTAAAAAGTCAATTGTAATTTACATAAAGTTTTTAAAATATTTATGCCTCTAAGCTTCACATCATTAATGTATACATGTTGGGGGAATTTATTGTACTAAAACATAGTAAGTTTTTCAATATGGTATCATATGTTTTAATTTTGCAATATAGTACCACTGTTCAATATTGACTTGACATTGTTTAAGTAAATATCCTCCACCACTGTACATTGCTCAACAAGTAGTCGCCCAACGTCACTGGACAATTTTCAAGTACTATTTAAGAAATACTACTTCCGTCTCGTAAAACTTTCCTATATTGACTTTTGGAATAGGAAAATGTAAAAATTTGACCAACGTGAAATGATGATAATTGAAAAGAGTAGGGCTCAGGAAATGTCAAAATAGATAGGGTGTAGAAGATAGTTCAAATATGTTCAGTTTGATTTAAGACAAGTAAATTTAATTGTGTCCATTTAGCCCAAGTTGAAATGTTTCATGGGACAAACTACATGTGAAAAATAAAAATTTTTACGAAATGGAGAAAATATGTTTTAGTACTATAGTGCAAATTTACATACATTTCAAAGTTTAGTCAAACATCGTGAGTACTAATCAACTTTTTTATAATATTGGTAAAGTCAATGAGAATGCGAATAAATTAACTTGAGATGGATTAACAAGTAGTTATGTTTAAATTAATGCAAGATCTTTTGACATTGGTTATCATCAATGTAAAAAATGATCCAAGGCACTAACTGTATTTCGTTGGTAAAATTTATAGTTCTTACTATATCTCTTATCCTCTGCGTCCCTAGCAATATAAGCGATCGCCGATTTGGCAGTGGGGAATGGGGGAGGTTGGGATGCAAATGTGTGTTTGGGGGTATGAACTATATATCAATTTTATCAATAGAGTACTAGCATTGTAGGTGCCCAGGTCATATAATTATGTCTTGGATAACAAATTTCAAAAGATCAATTTATCCTTGAAATTTGATTTTCTAGTTATTATTTTATGTGTTAAAGAGTTTTTACATCAGAAAAGTAAGAAGAAAATAATGGGTATATAAGCTCTTTAGTTGAACTAAATAATCGATTGAATTCAATGTTTTAATGTGGTTAAACTCAAAGATCTTATGGCTAGTCTAGTAATTCTTGTCCCATTCTAAATTCTGTCATGGTATTAGAGCAAGTTTTAGCTCGCCTCATTTGTTAAAGTGTCCATCAAGACGTTCATTCCTAACAACCCTAGTCTTTAGCTTAGTTGTCCGTGTGGAATGTATATCATGTGGCCTGTTTAACCCGATTGCTCGTTTGGAAGTCCATACCCAGTGGCTCATGGTCCTTTAGATGTTGGCGCTAAAAAAATCAAGGGGCCGGGATGGTAATCCATTTGCAAGTGGTCAACCGTTAGATTCAAATGGTTCGGTTTTCTACTTGAGAGAGTGTGTTAAAGAGTATCCCGCATCAGAAAAGTGAGAAGAAAATAATGAGTATATAAGTTGTTGAGTTGAACTAAATAATCAATTGAATTCAATATTTTAATGTGATTCAACTCAAAGGTCTTACGCCGAGTCTAGTACTTCCTCCCCATTCTACATTCTATCTTGGTATCAGAGCTAGTTTAGCCCACCTCATTTGTTATGGTGTCAGTCTAGATGTTAATTCTAGCGATCCTAGTCTTTAGCTCAGTTGTCCATGTGGAATGTATATCCAACGACATTGGCCTGTTTAACCCGATTGCTCATTTGAAAGTTCATATCAAGCGGTTCGTGGTCCTTTAGGTGTTGGTGCTAAAAAAATCAAGGGGATGAAAATCCATTTACAAGTGATCAACCGGTTAGATTCGAAATGACCCGGTTGGGAGTGTTAAAGAATATCCCACATTGGAAAAGTGAGAAGAAAATAATGGATAATAAACTCTTGAATTGAACTAAATAATCATTTCAATTTAATCTTTTTATTTAGTTCAACTCACAAAATATTATTGGTCAGTCTAGTGAGGTATTTGTCATGCATGTATTTCATGCTTGTACACATACACATGAGATGTGAGAATTGTAACCACCCATGGCGTTGCATGCATACAGGTCGATTTTATGGTCTACAATGATCAAGACTTGTGTAGCATTGTGTCCAAGTTCGATGCATCCGAGATTGATGTGGAGGATGGGCTTCTTCAAATGGACGGCTCAGATTCGCAGGACACAGACGGCCAAATTACCCCAAACTCTATCCTAGAGGGCCCACTGGATATTTACAAGAAGAACTCGTCATCCTCTTGCTCCAATAATTATGAATTGGGCATTTCCGGAATTTCACTTTCCCCTCCTCCGGAAACAACCGCGAATAACAACAATAATAAGGGCCCCGCCGGTTTCATGCTCTCTTTGACGACCAGTCGCCGCAAGGGAGCTCCTTCTAGGTCTCCTCTCTCTTGAAATTCATAATAATTTATAAATTCATTATTTTTATCTCTTCTTCTTCTTTTTATATTTAAATAAAAAGAGATCTTTTCTTTTTTTTATCATCACAATTCTTATTAGAAAGAAAATCTATAACTATAATGTGTATAGGTGGCGGTTTGGTGATGATTTGCATGGCGCCGGCGAAATAAGCTCACGGCTGTCACCAATTTTGTACCTATAGTGTAATGGAAATTAGACACACATATCTACATATATGTACAATTAACCCAAATGCACCTCATTTCTTTATTTATTTACTTCTACCCCGCATTATTTATTAATTAGGCTTTGTTTGAATGAAGGAATTCAAAAATACTAGGGGTACACCAATTTTTGTATCCCATTTGTAACCCCCTCCATCTCTACCACACAAAAGCAACAGAAGAAAAAAAATTAAAAATATAAAAGGAAATCAATGGCTAGAATTTTTGGTGTACAAATGGGGTACACCATTTGGTGTACCCCTAACATTCCTCATGTTGAAACTTGATTGATTATAAATGTTTATAGGTATCTTTGGATGAAAAGAAAAAGTAGCAAATAATATGGTTCAACTCATCATTATTATTCATACCCACACCCACACATAGATAGATATATTCATATATACCCTTTCCATTTCGAAAAACCCTTCCTATTTAGACTAAAGAGGAATGCATAATAGCCACATATTTGGAGGAAGCTTAGGGTGGAACTGAGGAGGGGGTAGGGGTGAGACTAGGGTGAGGGGTTTAGGAGTGGTTTAGGAGGTAAGAACCATCAATTTTATGATTGGAGCACCGGAGGTACTCCAAAAATATAGTGGCATCGCTAGTGCCACCTTTGGCGAGTGTCAACGGAACCTCATATAAAACTTATATTCCCTCCGTCCTTGAAAACATGGAAGAGTTTGATTTTTAAGGAATTTAAAAGATTGTAATTTGGTGTTGACTTTTCAAAAATACCTTTGGATACGATGCGTAAAAGTAGGATTTGGTGGATAGATTAATAGTGGATAAATGTGATGTGATAGATAGGTTAAGAATTAGTAAGATTAAAGGTGACTTTTTAATATAAATGAGAAAAAGTTTTTTTGGGACAAATGAAAAAAAAGAAGAAACAGGGACGGAGGGAGTACTTATTTTGGAGTCAGTTAAAAAATCCTTTTAAACTATTCCAAAATACTTTTATTGGATCAATTACAAAAGGTGTGTCAAACATTTATGAAAATACTCATTTTGATATTAGAAAATATTTTTGGTAAACAAAAATATTTTATTCAAATATTTTCGGATATCGCTTGACATACAATATTTTTTCGGGCTCAATTTTTCACCCCAACTAAATTCAAATTCAAAATTTGAATTTAGATACATCATTGGGCCTTTGAACCATCAATTCTACACATTCTCACATGGGGAACATGGATATATTATCCCTTGATCCATTGTCCTGTGCAAATGTTCCTTGAGATCTTATCTTTGTTGTTCATACGATATAAATTAATTTTCTTTTTTGTAAAAATCAATTTTTTGACTTTGGAATTCATCGGTCTGAAATCAGCAGATAAAAATCAGTTTTTGAAGAATAAAAATTGATTTTTAAGATTTTTTTCAGCATCACTTTATTTTCTTGGACCAACGGACATATTCTCATTACCCTATTTAAAACCCTCTTCTTTGGTCAGTTTTAGACACGTGAAACACTCTAAAAACATCTCATTTTTGTGGTCTTCATCCTTCATTAATTCCTTCATCAAATTAAGTTATTTTTGAGAGAAAACTTGTTGTTTCCAAGAGAGTGTTCTTAGAGAAACTCCAACGGGTAGTGAAAAAATGATAGTGTAAACCTTCTTTTACACTATCAACAATGTTTTACACCTCCACTTTTTTATACTCACTCCAACCATATCTTTTAAATAATACACAAAAAAGATTTTATCTCTATTATTTTTTTCATATTATAATCAATATAATATTATTGTAATACATACAACATTACAGAATTATAATTTCTTCAATTGATATAAAATACTCTCTGTTCCAAAAAGAAACACATATTGTTGTTTAAATGGTTTGCCTACAATTATTTAATTTAACATAATTGAAAATTGGCATGGAAAAAATTTTTTAATAAAAACTACATAAAATTTTCTACAAAACTAAAGATGAGAAGAATTTATTAATTTTCCAAATGGGTAGCAAAAAAGGGAAAAACATCTTAGTTAAAGTTTGAGAGTGTAAACAGTAAATAGACAATTTAAATTGAGAGAATGAGAGTATATATATTTATATTTTTTCAAAATGACAAATATTTGTAGAATATATCGTGCGTGTGTGTCTATATATATATATATATATATATATATATATATATATATATATATATATATATATATATATATATATATATATATATATATATATATATATATATATATATATATATATATATATATATATATATATATATATAGCACAAGGGAGAGCCACACCCTAAAAGCTAGCTGTTAAGGTGGGAGAACCCTTGGCTATATAAACCCATTACCAAGTTCCCCATTTAACCGGTGTGTGACAATGAAATCAGTCCGTATCATTCGACCCCCATAAGGCCCAACGTCCTCGTTGGTCACGGCTACGTTGGTCACGGCCACGTTGGTCACGGCTTGCTAGTATACCTACTTAGACTCCGTTCCGTTCAACTTTTTTTTCTCTGATTTGATCTGATTTCAATAAGTTCTGATCTGATCTGATCGGATCTGATCTGGTCTGATCTGATTTGATTAGTTATGATTTAATTTAAAATTTCAAATCAATAATTTGATTTGACTTTATAATAACGTTTGAAAATTGTAATGATAATTCATATTATAATATAATCAATATTTTTTATTTAATGATTATTTTTTAATAAAATAAAATTAGTTAATTCATATATCAGAGTAATCATTCATATTATAATGTAATAATATTTTTTATTTTATGATTATATTTTTGTGAAATTAGAATATTAATTTAATATTTTAATAATTACTTCATATATACATTAGAATAAATATTTAATTTAGATATACATTAAAAATTAATTAAATTTAGATAATCAATATATAGAAGATATAGTATTTTTTATTAAAATATCTCATCCTTATAAAAGATCAAAACTTTAGAAACTCAAATTACAAGTAACAATAAAAATATATTTTAAAAGTAGAATTAGATTGACATTGTCAATGTATTTTAAAACTAATTTTTATGACGTCTAATAATTAATGATTACTTTCTCAGTTTTCTATTTAACATATTTCTAGAGTTTATTCTTTTTCATTTTTAAGAACAATAATAATACTCCGTAATGATGATGATGATTCTAATAATAATAATAATAATAATAATAATAATAATAATAATAATAATAATAATAATAATAATAATAATAATAATTCTTGATGGGATCTGATTTTAATAAGTCGTGATCTGATCTGATTGGATCTGATCTGCTCTGATCTGATCTGATTCAATATGATCTGATTCGATCTGATCTGATTTTAATAAGAATAAGAAAAAAAAGAAAAATTAAGTTGAACAGAACGGGGCCTTAGTTTGCTGATTACACAAGAACGCTTCCGATAGATCCCGCATTTTTAGTTTGAGAATCGCTATTCCCTCAGTATTTAACGTGGTGAACATTCACGTCTATTAGTGTTTTAGCCACTTTAGTATCATCCATGTTGAATTTTTCAAGGATTTTGCAATGAAATGGGATTGGCTGAAGCTCAGATCATATGTTCTTCTTATTGTTTTGATTCCAAGAATCACATCAGCTAGAGCTAAATCTTTTATATCAAATCGTGCGTTTAACATGTCCTTGGTGGACTTGACCATTCCGTTGTTACTTCCAACGATGAGTATGTCGTCTACACATAGACGTAGAATGACATATCCTTCAGGTGTGTCCTTAAAGTATACGCACTAATTTGACTCATTGATCTTAAAACCATTGTTCATCATTACCTTGTCAAACTTATCATGCCATTGTTTTGGCGCTTGTTTACGACCGTATAATCATTTCACGAGTTTACAGACCTTCTTTTCTTGGCCTTGAACCTTAAACCACTCAGGTTGTTCCATATAGATTTCTCCATCTAACTCGCCATTTAGAAAAGTTGTCTTTACATCCATTTGGTAAACATCCAAGTTTCGTAAGGATGCAAATACAATGATCATCCCGATAGAATCTATCCTAGTCACAGGCGCGTAAGTATCAAAGTAGTCATAGCCCCCGCGTTGGCTAAAACCTTTGATCACAAGTCTAGCTTTATACTTTTCAATGGAGTCGTCGGGTTTGATTTTCCTCCGAAAGACCCATTTAGAACCTAATGGCTTGCAACATCGAAGGAGGTCAACCAATTACTACATGTGATTCAGAAGAATAGAATCAACTTAAATTTTTATGGCTTCCCTCCACTGAGGTCCTTCAGCTGAAGTTACAACCATGTGATAGGTTCGTGGTTCCTGTTTTACCAGACAGTTTAGAATATCAGGTTCATTCTCCATTAAAAATGACAGAGTTCCTTTGTCAAATTCTATCAGGTATGTTTTGAACTCATATTCAAACTTCTTTTCAGTTTGCATTCTTTTACTTCGTCTCAATTCAGTTTCATGCCTGATTTTATCATCGTTACTGGAACTCAACTGATTTGGATTGTCATTATCTATGATCCTAGTACGTGTATGTTTAGACAGACTAGCTTCATTGCTTGACTTGTACGTAACGATATGTTCAAAAAATGTTGCAGTCTATGACTCTATAATCGTGTTCTTGTGAATTTTAGGATTATCTGATTTACTACCTCTCTCCCAGTGTATTTGTCCAATTTTGACCTTTTTCAATCAACTGTTTTCAAACTTTGACCTATAATTAAAAAATATATACTCCCTTCGTCCCACTGTCTTTGTCCACTTACCTTTTGGCACACCATCCAATGCACTTATTTAATCCATTTTATCTTATAATTTGTATATTAAAAAATTATAAAAATTATATATTAATAATCTATATGTTAAGACGAATCAAACAAGATCACACATGACTATTTTTAGGCTTATACATTGAGAGAATTTGATGAGTCAAAATGCTTAGATGAACAGTTCCAAAAGTCAAAACTGGACAAAGACAATGGGACGGAGGTAGTATGTTGTATATTAGTTAGATAAAATTATATTTTAAAAATATTTATATGATAGATCTAATAAAACTATTTTGTATCAATATCTAATATCATTTTTATTTAATTTGGGGTCAAATTTTACTAACTTTGATCGAAAAAAGTCAAAAGTGGACAAATACTCCAGGACGAAGGGAGTATACACCAAGAACTAGCACGACTTACTATTGTACTCGATGAAGATTCTATCAGCTGTTTTTGCACCGAGCTTCATTTTCTTTGGCGGTGGTGCAATCACTTTTGCAAGATACCCACACACTTTGAGATATTTGTAGGAAGGTTTCCTATTGGCAAGTTTGTTACAGGGTACCTTGTTTAGCATGTAATTACTTGATAAAACAGCCTCTGCCCAAATATTCTTGGGCATAGCATTCATCATGTCCTTCAGAGTGTGATTTTTGTGCTCCGCCACACTATTAGACAACGGTGTATAGGGTGGGGTTACTTGATGAACAATTCCATGTTGTGCACAAAAACTCATTCAGCGGAGCATCATACTCTCCACCTTTATCGCTTCTCAATGCTTTAATTTTGCAATTGAGTTAATTTTCCACCTCATTCTTATATCGAATGGAAGCATCCAATGCCTCATATTTTCCTTTTAGCAAATAGATATGACTATTTTATGCTATCATCGGAAAAAGTAATAAAGTACTTATTACCTCCTCTTGAAGGCATTGTTCAAAAATCACACAAGTCACTGTGAACCAACTCTAGAGGTTGAGTATCACGTTCAATCGTTTGGAAAGAACATCGCGTTGATTTGGCCTCAACACAAGTTTCACACTTTTGAGTTAAGTCAATGCTAAATTTAGGAATATGTTCCATGTTAATTAATTTCCAAAGAGATGGATAATTAACATGTCTTATTCTACCATGCCATAAACTACAAGACTCACACACACAAGCAACGAGATTTTTTATCTTTTCAGGAATAGTCATTACATTCAATTTTACAAGGCCATCAGAAATATATCCTTTTCCTATAAAAATCCCTTTATTGGACAAGATTCACTTATCGGATTCAAACACCATTCGGAAGCCGAGTTTGATTAGCAATGACCCCGATACTAGATTATTTCAAATGTCTGGCACGTACAACACATCATTCTGTGTTAGTTCTTTGTCGGAGGTCATCTTAAGCTTAATCTTTCTAATTCCATGGACTTTGGAATGGGCCGAGTTGCCCATCCACACCTTGTCATCGGAGGTCTCTGCAAATTCATGAAACATGCTTTGATTGGAGCAAATATGTTATGTGGCTCGTGTATCCACAAACCATTTCTTCGGGTTTGACCCGACAAGGTTTACCTCGGTGACAACTGCACATAGGTCCAAGTTGTCCAAAGCCTCATTAGTCTTCTATTTATTATTTTGATGCTTCTTTTTCCTGTATTCAGAGAAGTGAGGCTCCGTAATGCCACAGTTGTAGCATTTCCCTGCGAACTTTGAAATGCTACCTTTAGGACCTAGTTTCTTCTAGTCCTTACCACCATGTGAGAGCCTGACGGATGCTCAACGATGTTTGCCTTCGCACCTCCATTTCTCCTAGCAAGTCCTTCCTCTCGAATCCTTAAGCGTGTGAGGAGCTGCTCTAGATTTAGCTCAGTGCTCTTGACCTTTAGGTCTGCACGGAAGTCTTCCCTTGACTGTGGAAGATTTTGTATAATGGCCGCCACTTAGAATGCCTCAGTGACACCCACTTTTTCTTCATTGCACTTTTTGAAGATAACTGTGAGCTCCTCGGCTTAGGCGATAACGGATTTGCTGTCAACCATTTTGAAGTCAAAGACTTTTTTGACGATAAACTTTTTTCAGCTTGATATTTCTTGTTCAAGCTCTCCCAGAGCTCCTTAGAGAGTGTAACACCTTGAGGCCCGGTCTATTAAAATTGATTAATTAAGTAATTAATTACTAACTCGGTTCGGGGTTGGGAAAATAAAGTCTTCAGAAAAATTATTTGATCACATCAAAATATTCGTCTTGACAGTCTGATTCTAGAAACGCAAATGGATTTCGATTTGGGCCCATTCGGGGGAAAAGCGCGTACCGTTCAAGTCAGATTTTATACAACGGAGTGGAATTTAAGGAGATAACTCCCCACATCAATTCACACGCCACCTTCATCCCATTTACTCCCACCATTCATTTCCCGTTAATTCTCATTACTCCACCTCCATTATATACAACCCAACCCATTCCCTTCCTCCACTACATTTGTAACTTCCACACACACAACTCTCATCTTCTCCCTTCTCTTATTCGGCCAACCAGCATCAGCTAGGCGAGGAGGTTTCTGGCGAGAAGGAGAAGAAGAAGGAAGAAGAGAAGAAGGCCTACGCGTGAGGCCGTTCGTTGTCCATCGTTCGTCGTTCGTTAGAGGTGAGTACGTTGCCCTCTAACTTTATAATTCATAGTATAGTCATATCGTTATATTCATAGGATTACCCAGCTAAACCTACGTGTATCCACGTTAGCATGACTCTTTGTTATTTAGACCTTTCGATTACGCATTTGATAATATAAACGTTTTGAAACTATGTAAGTTCACTGAATTCTTAACCCGGAAACGTAAACGTTCATTTCTAAAATTGCCTACGTATTGACGATAATAAAACAGAAAAAAAGGGAATTAGCGTGCCCTGATAATCGATTTACAGGACAGTATAATCGACTAACAGGTCATGCTGGACTTTTCCTCGGAATCAGAAAGTGTGACAATCGATTATCACATATGTGATAATCGATTATCAGACCCTGCGGATTCCTGAGTCAGAGTTGGTTCATATGATAATCGATTATCACAGAGCAATAATCGATTATCATGCCTCTCGGAACTTAGGATTTCTTGAACAAAAAAAGGAGAGTCGATTGCTATGAGGTAACAATCGACTATCACAGTCTGTAGGACTTTGGGAACAGAAGCTGCAATGCGTGATAATCGATTATCAACAATGGATAATCGATTATCAACCAATTCTGAACCCAGGGCCATCATGTTTAACAAATCATTTTCATACAGAATCAAACCTATATGTATGGGTTGAACTTAACCTTGTTCTTCAAGCAATGCAATCATATCATCACGTATATCCTAGACACATGTTTAGGATCATGGCATACTTGCATACCGCAACAAGAGGTCAGGCCTAGTGCGCCTCTTCCGTGGGCCCGTCCAAGAGCCTGCGGGGTCTAACGGGTTTCATCACGAGGGCTTGTGTACGTACATGGTAGATGGGCTTTCAGCTATCACCCACATTATCTAGTCTCCATCGGGAACACTAAGGCGTTCCTCGGCTCATCTACCGCGTGGGGATACCGAAGGGCGGGGGGTCCCTGCACAGTCTAACTCATGCATCATGAATTATTTGTCATTGCATCACTATTTATTCGTAAGCTTTTATTCATTAGATTTGTATGTGGTATCTCGTACCTTAGTACATGTACAATTATGTTTATACCGATGTGAATGTACTATACATTCTAGTGTTTGATTACCAATCAGCTTTTGTTGAGCGTATAACGTTGTCTTTGCTATACGCAGGTAGGCAAGACAAACATGGAGCCTGGCCCGGATGATTGGGAGATCGGGGTAGCGGATCGACGATAGTGGGGACCCTATTTATTATCTATTTAATAATAAAAATGTTTTGAGCTTGAACCCACCATTGTCGCACTTCTTTATTTATGACTAAACGTTTATTATTTATAATTAATTCTGTTATGAGACATTTTCTTTAAAGTAATTTATCTCCATCATTTAATAAAGTATACCAAGAGTTTTCAGTTACAAGAGCAATGCAAGGGTTTCTTTGTAGATGATCCTAATAACTGTCTACGTAACTCTCCAGCTCGTTGGGCCGCGGAAAACTGGGTTTGCGGGACGGAGGGTGTTACAGCGAGTCTGGTGTGGCAATAGACGGGGTAGAATGTCTCCGTTAACCGTTCTAGAATGTAGTTCACACACAAGTAATTATTGTGATACCAAGTCTGATTTAGCATTGCCACGAGGGGTTTGCAGTTCTTGGTCACCTGGGGAGAGTGTTGCTTGAGGTACTGAGCAAAACTTAGGACCGTCAAGAAGAACATTATCTTTTGTTGCCACATCTTGAAGTTTGTGCCATTGAACTTTGGTGGCGTCTTCACCGTGCTTGGAGACACGGATATCGGCGCAACTGCATTTTGTGTGAGACCGAATGGTTTGTTAGCAGTCCAATGTGGTCCCACAAACGGATTAACCCATGCATTGAATCCTGTAAACGGCTCCATCAAAATGCTCACTGGTACGACTGAAGCCGATGTCGGTTTAAGAAAGGGGTTCATCGGTACGTAACCGGCGAAGTGCATCCCCGAGGTCCCGAACCCCGGAACGGAGGTAGGAGCCAACCCAAAGATGGGACTCGGCACCGAGAAAGAGGTAATGGTAGAACCCACCATAATGGACCGGAAGAGTAGTGGTGAGGAGGCCACTTCCAAGTCGATCAATGTAGTTCTTGCCGGAACTTCGAAACTCATTCCATTGCCGGAGGAACCCACAATGTCAAATCCAAAATCCATGAATACAATCTTTAGGTTTTTGAAAGAAGTAAGAGTTACACTGGGAAAAATAAGAAGAGAATAATCCAAACTATTAATACGTTTGGATTTTACAACTCGGAGATAAAAAATAAAATTGAGTAGAAGGTCACAAGAAGCCGAATGGAAAGAAAGGAAAGCAGAGTCGCCGGAGCTTTTCTTAAGGTAGTGTTGCCTGCCTTCCGCACTGGCTAACGTGGACAATCTCCTCCCAGGATAAAACCACTAACGTGCAAGGTCTAGAGCGGTAGAACCGTGCACCTGCGAACAGGAACAAATGGAGAGTTACTCGCTGGAAAATTGATCAGAAAACGAATGAAAGTTGGAACGCACAAAGAAGTTTTTTTGAGTTGGTGTCCTTTCACTGCAATTCGTCTCTCCTTATATAAGAGAGGCTTTGGCTATCAGATGTCCAAAATTATTTTTGAAAAATAAATTTGTGGACTCCATTGAATTTACGTCCGAAGTTGTCCCGTTACAAGTCAAAAATTCCAACAAACATCATTTGTAAAACTTTCTCAATTTTAATACGGAGTAAATGAAAAATTTATTGAACATTGCTAGACTAATTGCTTGTTGACTATGTATCAGCAATTCCGAAATATTATATACAAAAATAAAGAATCAAGTACCAAGAACGAACTTGGTTCCATATGTGAAAGTGCCTTGACAGAATGAACCCTTCTTTGCCGCCAGATTGCTAACCCAATATGCGTTACTGAAGCTGCACGAGGGGGTATTGAAATCAAAGCATTGGGAAATAAAAAAAACAGGACAATTATACTCTCGAATATGAAATTTAAAAAACACAAACAAATAAACTGCTAAATAGAAGAGATACATGCATTTTATATGATAAAATAACTGAAGAAACGAACCCAATTCTATATGCGATATTTGACTCACGGGTAGTTTTTGGACAATTAATTTGCAAGTTGTGTTGTTGAGTCTCCGAAGAACAAGCCATTGCAAAACAGAGAAAGTCATTTTTTGAAAACATATAATTTCATTAGGTGTTTGTGCGAGTAGAATCTGGTCTGAGAGAGAAAGAGGGGAGGAGAGGATAGTCATGTGGGGAATGCAAAATATGAAAGGTAACCATGCAATATAGGCAGCGAAAATAAGTTTTAACATCCTAACATGATTATCTTGTCCAGAATCACGTACTAAAATTTATAGTAAGTAAGAAAGTTATACCTTTCTCCAGAAGCGGTAAAAGCGAAGAAGTCGTATGAAAAGCGTTGAAAGTGCAAACGTAACCGTTCAAGCGTCCGATCTCTAACTTTGACACACGAACAACACCAGAGTCTACCACAATCTTTATGTTAGTAAAGATTATATTAGTATAAAATATAAAGACTAAAATTTTAAAAATATTATAGATATTTTCTATACACAAAAAGATATTAATGGAAATCCAAATAATCACTTTCTCTCTCTTAAATTCAATAGCCTAAAATTTCTCTCTCCTTGGATGAATCTGGCGTGGGGTATTAATAAAACGAAAGTGTTCCATTAATTTTGTCATTAGCTAAATGACAAAAATAATTAGCCAACTAATTTATCAATCAAGGAAAGTTAAAAACAATTTGTCAACCTTTAAATCCACATGGCCGAAAATTTAATTGTGAGGACTTCAAAATTCTTGTTCACTTAAATGTTTAAAGTGTATTTTATTTGGCATAAAAAATTATTATAAAATTAATTTTAACTCAAATAAAAATATCAATATCATTTTTAACAAGTATACAAATATACTTTAAATATTTAATGTCAAAATAATTATTTTCATAATTAAAATGACAAACCAAATCAAAATATTCAACATATAATATATTTATAGATATGTTTTGGTGTTATATATATATATATATATATATATATATATATATATATATATATATATATATATATATATATATATATATATATATATATATATATATATATATATGGGATTGACTCCAGTGAGATGACACCTTACTGTGCGATGATATGCTTCGGTCAGATGACGCAAAGTTCACCACATTACACTGCAAAGCTCACCAATGGCCAATGTAAAGCTCACCTGGAAATAAAGCAAAGCTCACTACTTCCAACACCAAAACTCAACTTTTTTTTAATTTTGAAAATAAAAAAAATAATAAAAAATAAAATAGCAACACCGGTCAACCACGAGTCAGCGGCGGCGGCGCAGCGGAAATCAGCGGCGGTGGTGGCCAGCAGCAATCGGTGGCGGCGGTTGTCGGCGACTATCGACAGCCAGTGGCAGTGATTGGCAAGAGATGTCGGCGGCGGCGGCAGGCGGTAGGGGGTCGCCGGTGATGGTCAACGGTCAATGGTCAAAGTCTAGTCAGCATCCCTTTCTTTGATTTTTTTTCAAAAAAAATAATCAAATTGTTGAAAAAATATTTTGAGATTTGCCTTAGAGTTTGGTGAGTTTTGTAGTTGTTCTTGGTGAGTTTTGCAGTGACCAGTGGTGAGCTTTGCGTCATATGACTGTGTGTGTATGTATGTGTATGTATATATGTGTGTGTGTGTATATATATATATATATATTTCAGGGCTTTCACTTCTAAAATTGTATATCTCCTTTTTCGTCTGACCCAATCTCCTAAAAATTAGCGCAGGATCTCCCCTCTTTCTGCTTGTCATTTTTTCATCCGCGGGCGTTAAAGGTTTAGAGACATCACGGTGGGTTCAATTCGCAAACATCATAGTCGTCTTTAGAATTCATATTTTTGTTTTGGAACGACAAAATCTCTGACGGATCCTACAATGCAATCATGCAATTTTGTATTTTTACTCTGAATCATGAAATCCATTTTGATATTCGAATTTTGGGGGGCTTAAATTCTTAATTTCGATTTGCTATTTTGAGAATGTTTAATTCCTTTTTTATAATATATATTTGTGCGGCCTGGGTTCCTATTCTTTATTTTGTTATCTTCGATTTTATTCTTTGAATTTTGGATTCCATTTTTATAATATTTTTTTGGAGTAGTTTTTGGGTCCAGAAATTAAATCTTCCTACTACTTGGGCTATTTTGTGATTTGATGTGGGAATGATTTATGGGTTGGAGTTGTGTGCATCAGGCTATTGTGTCTTGGATTTTTGAATTGCGCATTTGATGCATTTTTGTAACAAGGCATCTATGTTCATCATATGTGTAATATTAATGTGTGCTTGAATTTGTCTAAATTAGTTATGAGATTTTGTATTTGGAGGTTATAGGCGATGCATCTAAGCCACCTAACAAAGCATCACAGAATAAATCACTATAATGAATATATACTGCAAAAGATTTGAAGTTTACATCCTTTTTTTGTCTCAATTGGATGCATGTCAAGTTTGACTCTATATGGTGTTTATGTTCATGGGTGATGAAGCTGGATTCATACTATCTTTGATTACCTAGCACATCTTGTTGGTTGAAAGCTTTCTTGGTATTGGATTTTTGCTCCGATCCAGTACGAAGAACCTTGGTTTTACTTCTAACCAGGACCTGTGAGCTGCACCAATTGGTTGGTTGGGAAGCTGCTCTTGTATTTGAGAGTCCTTTGCAGGGTTCTCTGGAGTATATTTTTTTACAGTTGCAAGCTTATTAGTCCCATTGTTGTTATGCATTATTAGAGTCTAGGCAATGCATTTACATGAGAAGGCAAAACATTTTCAAAATGAATAATGTATCAAGAGCATTTAAGGGCTCTAGCTACGTGTTACAGATTTCACTGTGTTGATACCATTTAATCTAGATCAACACTGTATTTTGCATATTGGAAGGGCTTTTAAAGTCCTTAACATCGACACCCGCTTATGGAGACGATTAATTCTAAATCATATTTCATCGTAGTAAATCAATTTCTCAGATTATGATCTCAACTCTCTAAATTTTATTTTATCATGTTTCTCTCTTATTGCATATTTATAAATAGGAATGTCATATCCATTTGATACGTGTTTTATGTTTAATAAGGAATAGTCTAATTTCATGTGTATTCTCCTTGTTGGCACCATGCATGAAACCTTAGTAATAAACCAGATGTTATATGTGTGCACTTGTACACGAAATATATGCAAAGGCTTCGGTTTTAAATGCAATATTAAACGCTACATAGCATGTCCCAAACTTATTACACTTCTAAATGTATGGGACGATTAAATCATGATGCTGTCCAAAATGCATTACACAAATTATATGGTATCAATGAGAATCAACGTTTAATCAATAATTAAATAAAAATTCATATATAATAGGATCAAGTGCAAGATGAAATATAATTCCCTATAAAAAAATAACTTCTTACCTATTAGCTCAAATGGTAGAGCGGTATATATACTACAGATGTAGGTTCGAATCCTGTATAAGCAGACTATTTCTAAAATCTGTTATACACTTGCTTTGAACTATTTCTCAATTACTCATAAAGTCTTTGGTGTTGCATATTTGTGTTTCAAAATAGATTTTATTTGTTTTTATTTTGTTATATTTTGAATATGTACTTTGGCTATGCTTTGATTCTCGATAATAAGTCTTTGTAAGTCTAGTTTGGGGCTTAAGGTGTTAGGGGGTGGAGAAATTTGGTCTTCAATTCCGAACTTGTTGTCATTAAAGTCTAATTAACAAATTGAGACTTTGTTTCTTTAAGAGAGCATTCTTAGGAAAAAGGCAATGCATTCTCAAATCAAAATAATGCATTCCATGATCTTATTGCATGTTTGCACCATTGAATTTCGTACAACACAAAATTTGTTATAAGCAATGAATTCATTGATTTAAGTATAAAACAAGAAGAACGATTATGCATCATAAATTAAAACCAAAAATGCTCATCTAACTAAAACACTTCTAAAATTTTTAATAACTTAACTCTATTTAGTCCGAAAACAAAATCGTAAAGCAAATTGCATTTATCAAATATCACACTGCATTTTGTCTCACAACATAAAATTAGGTTAAATACAACACATTCTCGGACTTTTCCATCGCATACAAAGTCTCTATAAGTCATAATTTACACATACACAACTCAATAGAAAAAAAATAAAAAATTTAAAGTGCAAACCACAATGCATATGTCAGTCATCATAGTGCATTATCATATCATCATAGTACATTATCATTGGAACTGTAACTATAATAGTGCATAAAAAATTTAATTTTAAATAATAAATTTTATTTTTAAATTTTTTAAAAATATATTATAGTAAATTATATTATATTTGAAACAATTTAAGTGGAAGATTGTAAACTAAAATATGATTAAATAAGTATGAATTCTATTATAATCAAGTGGCAAGAATGGTGGAATAATTAATACCCTGGAGTATCTTTTTAGTATCTACGTGTTTTAGTGCTCTCTTAGGTTTCCACATTTGCCCCTCAATTGAATATCTTGATAATTAACATTGACCGTAATTATTACTCCGTGTAGTTTCCAAAAATATATCATCACTACATGGATGCATCTTAGCCGCACACTATATCAGATCTAATGCTTGAGATTTATTCTCATTTCTTTCTTTCATTGTGAGGCATTCTCACCTGAACTCCACTATATATATATGTGTGTGTGTGTGTATGTGTGTATGTTCTGATGAGAATGAGATCTTAGGAGAGAAATGAGAATGAAGCTGGTGCGTCTATCTTGATCCTAATCTAATGTAACGTATAAGGGCTAGATTGTATTTTCAGCACTCTATCCCCTGTTTATCTCATTTTGTTTCCATTTTCCGTCTCTTTCGCCGGGAGAATCAGCACCCATTATCTACTTCCTTGTGGAAGATGGCGAAATACCTCATCCTTCTCTGTCAATTCCCATTGCACCCAAACGCAGAATTCATCGCTTCAAATCAATATCACACAACATCGACACTTAAGTTTTTTGGATGCCATCTTCCGAATTCATGTTCATTGATTCAGATTCAGGTTAGTTCTCTTTTGCTGTTTAGCACTCAGAATAATTCCATTTTATTACATGTATTTTCACTTTTTTTACACAACAATTTTTGTTCAAATCTTTCACTACACCTACTTACAAACTCGGATTCTTCGACGGAGCATCTCAGTCAATCCGGATGCGATCGTGGATTCGCTCCTCCCTACCCAGAAAGCTCCAAACCAAGTGTTGGTATGTTTTTTAGAAATTTAGAGGATGGAATTGCATTTTACAGGGAATATGTAGCACTCGTCCGCTTTGATGCACGACAACGAAGTCTCTAGATGGTGTGATTATATGGCAGTATTTTCTAGGACTTCTATTCAAGAAGCTGCAGATTCAATTCTAAAAAAAGAAGGTGCATATCAAACCGCGTCGGATGGAAGGCACGTGTTATATTTAGATTGTCTAGGTCAGCCGGTTATTCTATCACTTTTTTCAAAGAATGCCACAATCATTCCATGCTTTTTGCACCTTCACGGCCTTTCTTAAAAGATAAATAGAAATCTAGATATTGGACACAAGAAATTCATGTTGAATTGTGCTAAGGTTAATACTGGAACAATGAAGTCTTACCGCCTTTTTAAAAGTCTGTAGGTGGTTACAATAATATTGGAGCCACGGTTGTTGACTTTAAGAATTTTAGACGAGACATCAAAGCTTACATTGCCTGCGGCGATGCACAAATGGTTATCGACAAGCTATTTAGAAAACACAAAACTTGTTCTGCATTTCACTTTGAGTATGATGTTGATGATAATGACCAACTTACAAGGTTATTCTGGTGTGATCCGTTGCTAGGAAAAACTATGCCATGTTTGGTGATGTAGTCTCATTTCATGCAACTTATGAGACTCACAGGTATTTTGCACGTGCAGGACAATTCTCATTACTTTCCTGTATATTCAATCTGTTTGTTAGCTTACCAAATATTTCGATAGGACTATTTTATGTCTTCATTCATTCTTCCTCAAAGCAATTCATGAAATTTTTTATCTCTTTTCAAACAGGTACAATATGATATTTGCACCATTCACAAGCGTGGATAATCATCGAAAATGTATTACATTCGCGGCTGGGTTGATCAAGAAAGAAGATGATGAATCTTATTCTTGGATTTTCTAGTGTTTTTTAAATGCAATGGGTAATGCCCCTAAATGTATCATTATTGACCAAGATCCTTCTCTTTGAGGTGCTGTGAAGCAGGGACTCCCAGGAACTGTTCACTGCTATTGTAAGTGGATGACAAAGGTTGTTAAGAAAGTGGATGACAAATTGCTTAAGGATGCAGAGTTTTTGCCCAAACTCAACGCCATTGTCTGGAGTCACTATCTAGACCTAGTTGATTTTGAAAGGTAGTGGCATGATCTCATGGCTGAATATAAATTAAAATGTCACAAGTGGTTTACAAAAATTTTCAAATACGAACCACATGGATTCCGGCATACTTCAGAGATTTGTTCATGGGAGGTTTACTACGTACCACTTCTCGTTTCGAAAGTGAGAATAGTTTTTTGACGATTTTAGCGGGTAAAATTTTAGCCTTGTGGAACTTCTTATGCAGTTTGAAAGTGCCATGGATTCTCAACGTCATAAAAATGCAGACTACAATGCAGATGATGAGGCATGCTATCCAGACTTTAAGACTCCATTAGGTATTGAGAAGCATGCATCCTCAGTTTACACATTGACTATTTTTATGAGGTTCAAGCCGAGATCTGTGCAGCATGTTTTTCTTGCCGTGTACTTAATATCGAATAACTCGACGACCAACACAACCAATATTTAGTCAAGGACAACAGGGGTATGACATTCACTAACGAATACTCACGCATTCACGCCACTGCAATATGCAGCTGTAAGCACTACATGGGCATTGGATTATTATGTCGACATATATTTGTAGTTTACAAGGACGAGAATGTTCGTAAGATTCCAGATTTCTATATCACCACTAGATGGTCTAAAACAAATTTGTTGAAGCCCATGTTCAACATCCCCAACATTGATTGTGAAGTCGTGACAGCTGTTGAAGGGAAAAAACATCATTAAACCGTTTGTGGTCAGATATTCACTACTGTGTTGCATCTGCGGAACAAAAACCAGGCTTATTGGATGGGTTTTCAAAGGTCATTCGATAACAAAAGAACATCCTCCAATCTGCAATTCAGTCTGGTGTTATTCCACCACAAGACCGGATTTTTGTGTCATTCTATGGCACAACTGCCCCTTCAAACATTACCATACTCCCTCCCCAACAAGTACGCAACAAGGGTGGTGGGAAGAGAATCAAAAGCGCAATGGAGATTAGCATCGAGCAAGGAAAGAAGAACATGCGAATGTGCAAAACTTGTCATGAAATGGGATACCATGATAGTAGAAATTTGCCAATGAATAAACAGGAATGAATTATCTCATTAACATTTTGCCTCTTATAGCAAAACTCATTCTTATATATATATACATTCACCAATGTGTTTTGTCTAAAATAAAAGAAAGCATTTTATTTCGATTATTATGCATCAAGCAATCAGTATTAATGCATTCTACGAGAAGCCTACGTTGCTATACGTATATTTCACGTTCTCCATTCTTTTTGTTCAAATAATGTTCCACATATATAGATAAGTATTACTCCCTCCGTCCCAATCTCTTTGTCCACTTACCTTTTGGCACACCATCCAATGCATTTCTTTAATCCATTTTATCTTGTAATTTGTGTATTACAAAATTATAGAAATTATATATTAATAATCTATATGTTAAGACAAATCAAACAAGATCACACATGACTATATTTAGGCTTACACATTGAGAGAATTTGATAAGTCAAAGTGCTTAGATAAACAATTTCAAAAGTCAAAAGTAGACAAAGAGAGTGGGACGGGATAGTATGTTCTTCCATTCAAATAATGTAATTTTTTTAAACAAGTCATTCACTCAATATACACAATGAATGCATTCTACCATTTTTGATGTTTACCCATCGAGATTAATATTGGTCGATTATGGTTATTCTACAATTATCAAACCTTGTGATCACTTCACTTGTCATACAAACAATAAACAATCATTTTAATGTACTTTAAATAAAATATGTCTGAAAGACATCTCCTTCTCTTGTAAATCTCACGCAACAAATGCATCTATCTAACGTCATGACCGCACTCTATGAATGAGTATCTTGCTATATGTACGGATTAAACTCTCCATTCCTTCATGTATGCATCACATTCACTATTTCTAAACATATGGATCTAAGTCTTGTGGTCTTCTTGTGGAAAAGCGCCCATTTATTGATATATGTACTGCATTCCACAGATTAGATGAGTGCACCCTTCGTCTCCATTACAATGCATTCCACCCAAACCATATTTAACAATAGTCATTACTTAATGTTCACACAAGTCAAGAATTAACAAACGACCAAAACCAATCCAAATTAACATGCAAATAACTCCTTTACCATCTTACCAAAACATTCAATCCCCAAAATCCATCAAAATTATCTAACCCCAAATGATCATTCATCTAGATAAGATTAGTCCCGAAACCAAGATAAAACCATAATAGGTATTAAAGGAGCAAAATTCACACACAAAAAAAAAATCAAAATGCAAAACCCCAAACATAGAGGGTGCCCACTTCCATACATGAGTAGGGTGTTGCAACTATGCGTCATATGGAGACTTACATGGGTCGTGGAGTCAAAGAATGGGACTGTGGATTGAGTAGGGAAGATCGGAAAGCCTTTAATGCATTACGGTCAAAGTACTGTGCTTGTATTGTTTTGGCTACGGTGAATGAGATGAAGGAGGAGAATATGACAAAGGTAAATAAGTTTGTGGCTTGTTGATGTTGGTTATGCATTCATTTTTTACTTTTGCACCATAATATTTGGGGAGTAAATTTCAGTAATGGTGCCTGAACTTTCACTGGAATTTCGAAGTGGATCCTGAACTTTAAATCTTTTCACAAAAGTACATGAACTTACATAATCCTTTCGCTAAAAGTCTGTTTACCCGTTTCCAGGTTAACTTCTAGTCATTTGGGCTAAATTAGAATTTTATATATTTTAAAATTTTTAATTTCACCCCATTTCTTTTTTTCTTCTTCTTCCCCCTCCCACATCCTTCCTTTTCTTCTTCTTTCACCCCCTTTCTTCTTCTTCTTCTTCTTTCACTCCCCCTTATTACATATTGTGTTTTGGAGGGGTTATTATTTTCTCTGTCTCTAAGTTTGGTTAAGAATTTACATCATTACATATTTCTCTATGTGTGACAGTGTGTTTTAGTGCGGCGGCGGGGTGGGACGGGGAGTGGGGTGGGGTGGGGTGAGGAGGAGGAGGAGGAGAAGGAGGAGGAGGAGGAGGAGGAGGGTCAAATTAAAAATTTTAAAATATATAAAAATCTAATTTAGCCAAATGACCGGAAGTTAACCTGGAAACGGGTAAATGGACTTTTAGTGAAAAGATTATGTAGGTTCAGGTACTTTTGTGAAAAGATTTAAAGTTCAAGATCCACTTCGAAATTCCAGTGAAAGTTCAGGCACCATTACTGAAATTTACTCCCCAAATATTATGGTGCAAAAGTAAAAAATGAATGCATAACCAACATCAACAAGCCACAAACTTATTTACCTTTGTCATATTCTCCTCCTTCATCTCATTCACCTCAGCCAAAACAATACAAGCACAGTACTTTGACCGTAATGCATTAAAGGCTTTCCAATCTTCCCTGCTCAATCCACAGTCCCATCCTTTGACTCCACGACCCATGTAAGTCTCCATATGACGCATAGTTGCAACACCGTCCTGATGTATGGAAGTGGGCTCCCTCCAAGGCATTTTAAGCCGCGTTGGCGGCTGTGTACCTAGCTTTCTCAGCTTTCCTTTCATGCCTTCGTTTTCAAAGGATTGCACAAGCATGTCACGCTGCATTTCAATAATTACAAAAGGATGAGCCTGGAAACACATTACTTTGTCAACGGAAAAACACTTTAATACATTTCTTTAACTTACCATCTTAGCCCGCATGTCCTCTCCAACACTTCCAGCCTACTGGGATAAATATCTGCACAAGAAACACAAACACAAAAAAACCATAGACCACAAAACCCATGGAATACAAAAAACTAAATATATAATATTTATACCATAGCAAGTACTATGCCAGATCTGCATTTAATGGTGTGGTAGAGGTCCAATAAGCATCCAATGCATCACAAAATTATCAAACGCAGTGGGGTTTCATCAGGTACTGCCTTCAGACATATATAACTACCAATCCAGAAATGTTAGCAACAATAACTCAAAAAAATGCAGGATAATTTTTAAAAAATGCAAAAAAATGCCTTACACATTTCTATGACTTTGCAAAGAATCTGAAAGGGGAATCCACACTATGGTAGAGCTCTTTGTGATTAAGAATGGTAGACCACGCATCAAGCACAAGATGCGATATGTGCTCACCGGAATGTACTGTCATCAAATCCCCACGGTTCAACACAAGGTCCCCATACTAAAACACCACTTCATCCTTGTATGTACCCACATTTAAATCGAAAAAACATGTTACCAATTAGATTTTCAGTCAAAACAAAAAAACATGTTTTTATCTTCTCACAAAACAACTGCATGTTACATTCAAATGTACAAACCTGGATGCTACTGAGTTTTTCATAACCCACTTCCAAATTCGATTTTCAGTACTGCTTGAATTCTCTCTTAGGTCCACAACACGTGTCATGTAAGGTGAATTCATGAATAATGTGGTTTTTCCCTTTCTCTTTTCCTTCTTGGAAATAGCATTCTATAAACACACACAAAAAAGAAACATACAATGTGTAGCATCACAACACTTAATAATAAATTCTACTTGACTTAATCGCAGCCTACAAAAAATACAAGAACTTCATTTGGTCCTCTTCCTCCCCTCTTTCACCAACTGCTTCCTCCACCTCTTTTACACCAACCTTCCAAGAAAACAACATTTTCATTTCACACAGATGCATCACAAACAGATCACTTGGCATTATGTGAATCTTATTATTAAATATCCAAACTTGTTCAACAATCTTCTGAATTCCTATATTCACTTTCTCATTGGCACCAATCTTTGCATCCACCACACTTGCACCAACCTTCACCCAAAAAATCATTTCCATATGCATCAAATTCATAATACTTTACATTCTAAGGAAACTATTAACCAATACCCAAACTTGTTGATCCATCCCATGCATTCCCTACCTCTCTTTCTCCACCATCTGATTCCACCAACCTGTCCAATAAAAAAAGAACCCCTAAAATTTCACCATCCTCCATCAGAAATAGAAAACTTAGCACTTTATGAATCATATTAATAAATACACAAACCTGTCCCCAAACATCAGTGTCCACCATCTCCTACCTTCCTTTATCCTCACTCCCTGGTGCCTCTTCAGAGTGAATTGTTGTTGCACGAGAGGTAGGTGTTATGTCCTCATTGTTAGTCTCCTCAGCATTGTAAGCCACATTACTACCCATCTCCCCAAGTATTTGTGTCATTCCGAGGGAGAAAGACGGCACATCACTCAAGAACTCCTGATACTTTGACTTCGCCTCAACAACACTCTTCATCTCTTTTGTAATTGCCATCAATTCGGGGGGGGCTGCTCCAGTATGGATCATCATCTAAATAATGGATATCTTGTCATTTAGATGTCGCGTCAAGAACATCGTCTTTCTTGTCATCCACCCGCATCAAGTTGTGTCCTAAACCTCTCAATTTACAAAATTTCTCATCCACAAACAATTCTTTTGGTGCCTCCTGAAGCATTTTGATCATGTCAAATACTGTGCTTGCTAGGATCTTGCTTTTGGCTGCAAATCTCCTCACAAGCACCTAAACAAATGTAAAGAAACAACTACTACAATCACACAAGGACAACTTGGTTAGCCAAAATTGTAAACACTATAAACAAATAATAATGAACATTACCATCTTAGCATTATCCCCAGTTGGCTGTTTTCCAGAAGACGTACCGACATGCTCAACATTTGTCGCGGAATGAACAACAGCCACCTCCGTCAGCAAAATGCGCTTACCTTTCTCTAATGCCCCATTGTCATGTCCCTTCCAAAGCCTCCTCCACTCACTTCTGTGTTTTCTCTCTCTCTAAGCTCTTTTCCTGTCCACCCCTTTATAGCTGGAAATAGCCTTGGCACGGGAAAAGAGCTTAGAGAGAGAGAGAGAACAAAGAAGTGAGTGGAGGGGGATTTGGAATGGGACATGACAATGGGGTATTAGAGAAAGGTAAGTGCATTTTGCTGACAGAGGTGGCTTTCTCTCTCTCTAAGCTCTTTTCCTGTCCATCCCAGTACGTCTTCTGAAAAACAGCCAACTGGGGATAGTGCCAAGACGGTAATGTTCATTATTAGTTGCTTATAGTGTTTACAGATTTTGCCAAACCAAGTTGTCTTTGTGTGATAGTAGTAATTGTTTCTTTACATACGTTTAGGTTCTTGTGAGGAGATTTGCAGCCAAAAGCAAGATCTTAGCAAGCACAGTAATTGACATGATCAAAATGCTTCAGGAGGCACCAAAAAAATTGTTTGTGGATGAGAAATTTTGTAAATTGAGAGGTTTAGAACACAGCTTGATGGGGGTGGATGACAAGAAGGACGCTGTTCTTGACGCGACATCTAAATGGCAAGATATCCATTATTTAGATGATGATCCATACTGAAGCAGCCCCGAATTGATGGCAATTGTAAAAGAGATGGAGAGTGTTGTTGAGGCGAAGTGAAAGTATCAGGAGTTCTTGAGTGATGTGTCATCTTTCTCCCTCGGAATGACACAAATACTTGGGGAGATGGGTAGTAATGTGGCTTACAATGCTGAGGAGACTAACAATGAGGACATAACACCTACCTCTCGTGCAGCAACAATTCAGTCTGAGGAGGCACAAGTTTGTGTATTGATTAATATGATTCATAAAATGCTTTTTCTATTTCTGATGCAGGATGGTGAAATTTTAGGGGTTCTTTTTTTATTCGAAAAGTTGGTCTCAATGTAGTGGAATCGAATGTTGGAGAAAGAGAGGTAGGGAATCAAGGAATGCATGGGTTGGATCAACAAGTTTGGGTATTGGTTAATAGTTTCCGTCGAATGTAAAGTATTATGAATTTGATGCATATGGGTGTTATGGAAATGTTTTTTTGGGTGAAAGTTGGTGCAAGTGTGGTGGAGGCAGAGATTGGTGCCAGGGAGAAAGTGAATATTGGAATTCAGAAGATTGTTGAACAGGTTAGGATATTTAATAATAAGATTTACATAATGCCAAGTGATCTGTTTGTGTGAATTGAAAATGTTGTTTTCTTGGAAGGTTGGTGTAAAAGAGGTGGAGGAAGCAGTTGGTGAAAGAGGGGAAGGACCAAATGAAGTTCAGGTATTTTTTTAGGCTGGGATTAAGTCAAGTAGAATTTATTATTAAGTGCTATGTGTTGTTACACTACACATTGTATGTTTTTTCTGTTTATAGAATGCTATTTCTAAGAAGGAAAAGAGAAAGGGAAAAACCACATTATTCACGTGTTATGGATCTAAGAGAGAATGCAAGCACTACTGAAAATTGAATTTGGAAGTGGGTGATGAAAAACACAGTAGCATCCAAGTTTGTACATTAGAATCAAGATGAATGATGCGATGCCCTATTGTACCCTTCCCCTCATTTCTACCTTCGTGACGAGATTTGGGTATCCCAATGGTGCAAATATTTTTCAAATGATCAGTGCAGAATTCAATAAGCTCTTCTGCCACATATCCTTCAACAATGCTACCTTCTGGTCTATAACGGTTCCTTACATACCTTTTAATAATTCCCAAAAGTCTCTCAAAAGGATACATGTACCTCAAATATACAGGGCCGCAAAGCTTAATCTCTCTCACCAGATGAACCACTAAATGAACCATAATATCAAAGAAGGATGGGGGAAGTACATCTCAAACTCACATAAAGTGACAACCACCTGCTCTTGGAATGCATCTAAAGTTTCTGAATCAATCACTTTGCTACATATTGCATTAAAGAAATAACAAAGTCTCGTTATCGCCCCCCTCACGTTCGTTGGCAATATCGCTCGAACCGCCACTGGCAACAAGTGTTGCATCAAGATATGGCAATCATGAGACTTCAGTCCAACTAATTTCAAGTCTGCCATTGACACAGGACTCTTAATGTTGCCTGCATACTTTTCAGGAAGCTTGATACTTTGTAGACTTTGACAAAGACTAATTTTCTCTTGTCTACTTAGCGTGTAGCAAGCAGGTGGTAAGAACGCGTGTTTTCCTCTCTCTTGCAGAGCAAGCTGTGCTCTTATGCCCATGTCGACAAGGTCTTTTCTTGCATTTACACCGTCTTTAGTCTTGCCTGGTATGTTTAAGAGGGTTCCAATCAAACTGTCACATATGTTCTTTTCGATGTGCATCACATCAAGACAGTGCCAACAAACATTCCCAATAAGGAAGCTGAAAGAAAATGGACTTTTTTTCCAAATTGGGCTATCTACATCACGTGTTTGAGTCTTGCCAAACACATGATTTATATTCTTCAACTTCTCATGTAGCTCTTTACCTGTCAATATCCTTGGAGCAACATCATCTTTTGCTTTCCCGTTGAAAGCTTTTCTCATACGCCGCCGATAAGGATGATTACGTTTGAGACATCTACGATGACCCAAGAAAACAATTTTTCGACTATACTTCAACCATTCACTTGAAGTATTCTCCTCGCATATCGCTTCAACCATTCACTTGAAATATTCTCCTCGCATATCGCTTCAACCATTCACTTGAAGTATTCTCCTCGCATATCGCTTCAACCATTCACTTGAAGTATTCTCCTCGCATATCGAACACGCCTTCATTGCCCGCGGTGTAAAGGACTCTTGACGATGAGCCTCAAATACAGTCACACCATCATGAATCCACATTTTTTTCAAGTCATCAATCATGGGGGCCAAATACACATCTATGTCATTACCAGGTTGCTTAGGCCAAGGTATCAACAAAAACAACATGATGTATTTGCGCTTTGTGCACAGTTCTGGCGAAAGGTTGTATATCACAAGCAGTACCGACCATGTACTATTTTGCATACTAAGGCTTCCAAACGGATTGATCCCATCAGTATAGAGCCCCAAACGAAGATTCCTAGGCTCATTACCGAACTCAGGAAAAGTGACGTCGATTGTCTTCCACTGCGGAGAATCAACCGGATGACGTAGGGTGCCATTATCTTTTCGCTGCTCATGATGCTAAAAAAGAGTCTTAGCATCCTTATTGCTCGCAAATAGACGCTTAAACCTTGGTATTATCGGCAGATACCCCATAACCTTAATGGGAATCCTTGATTTACCGACATAACCCTTAAAAGAAGCATTGTCGCTTGACTCTTTATAATGCGGATCAAAACACTTTGGGCATTCGCTAAGATCCTCAAACTCGTTGTCATACAATATGCAATCATTTCGACAAGCATGTATCTTTTTGTACCCCTCTCCCATTGGTGACATTATTTTCTTGGCCTCATAAGTGGACAAAGGAAGTTCATGTCCGTCTGGAAGGAGCTCCCCCAACAAACCTAACAAAGACGTGAATCCTTTGTCACTCCAACCGTTTACCACTTTTAAATTGAACAACTCTAGCATTGCTTTCAAACGTGTGTACTTAGTACAACCCGGATACAACGGTTTTTTTGAGTTATGTACTAAAGTCTCATACATGTTACGCTCTTCATCATCGATAACATTTTCAAAGTCATGGGCCATGCCAGAATTATCCTCAAATTCGTTGTTCCCTTTAGCCGGAAAACATCGATATAGTCATTGTCGTCATCCACCCGTCCACTAAATGTTGAACCAACATTTTCAATCTCCACATGCCGTATCCATTGTTTATAAGTCAACTCAAAACACTTGTGATACACATGGAGTCTTATATCATTAACACTATCGACCATAAAATGGTTATGACATGAGTTAGAAGGACAATATATCATTTCTCCCTCCCTTGAATATTTCTGAACGAAGCTAAGGAACTCATCAAAACCATTACAAAACTCTCGTGAAGTTCGTGGCATATTAATCCAACTTTGATCCATCATATATGACTCTATCATAATAACATATAGGTAGTGGAGTAAAATTCAATGAAAAGATCATCATAGACAATTTATATATATATATATGTATGTATGTATATGTATATATATATAATGGATGCGAAAAAAAAGTGTGTGTGTGTGTGTGTGTGTAAGAAAAGAAGAAAATGAAGAGAAAAAGATGATTTTTAGGTAAGTGTTAAACCAACTTTATATCTTCCCATACACAAACAAAGCGGTCAACAAAACAATTGAAAAGCATGCACAACAACACGATAACAATACATTTCTTCAGTTTTTGGCATCGTAAAAAGCAAACCCAGAGATGGTTAGCCACACGAAAAATGCAAAATTCAACTTTCAGCTCACCAAAATTAAACCAATGCAGCTAGCAGACAAACAAACACTGCCATATAACTTCAATCCCACAGCTAGCAGACAAACAAACAATGACTCTTTTATCACCCTCTTCTATATCGTCATCATCTTCATTTGAACGAGTAGGGTGTATGACTTAAAAATCAGCACCAACATATTTTTCTAGCCAACATATTTTTCTAACATAAATTTCTCAAGTCTGAAACAACTCAATGGCACAAGTGAACAGAAACTACCATGGAAAAGATTGGGGCTTTAAATAACAATCTCACATTCCATTCTGAGGTCAGTGGCTCAGTGCACAAACAAATTGTGCTGTTTTGAATTATCTATAAAGACCTTTTCAACTAAAAAAGATGCTAAAGCTATTTATAGTTGTTCGGAAGGATTCGTTTACTTCCTGCAAATTGCTTGTGATTGCTTATGTAAGAACTAGTATAAAGAAAGGAATTTTAAAAAAAAGAAAGAATAAGGGCAGCATTGATAGATCGTTGAATGAGAATGCTTGAATGGGAATCATCTTAGCAACTGGCTATAGACACGAGTCAAAGCCGCCGAGAGAGGAGAGGAAATTTTCATGAGAGGGGGACGAGCAAGTGACAGATTGGGAAAAATAGGACTTCTGACTCCAAACCTACCCTACCCCAAAAAAAGTTTCAGCCATAGACCTAATACGTTGGGAATAAGAAACTCAAAGGGAAAATAAATAGTTTAAAGTTTTTGGAAACAAATAGTTCAAAGATTCAGACCTTTGCAGTTTGATGGCCGCCGTCATTTTCCGTCCGGCGAAGGTCAGATTCGGACCTTCGCGTTCGATGCAGATGGTCGGCACAGTTCCTCTCTTCCGTCGACGAGAGCTCAGCCTTCCGTCAGGTCTCCTCCGTCGACAAGAGCTCCGCCTTCCGTCCTGTCTCCTCCGTCGACGAGAGCACAGTTCGAGTTCAGCCTTCCGTCTCCAATCGAAGCCTTCCCTTCTCGGATAGAATGTGCGGCCTCCTATCTCATTCACTCAAATAAACTTTAAAAAATTATAAAATAAACGCCACTTATCTAGTGTGTTGCTAATTGGTAAGGGGAACGTCTAAAATGACACCAGTTATTTATACACTAATTGCTTACATCAGTTCGTTTGGAGTATCTACGGCACTCCGTTTGTAAAAACGACGGTTCCTACCCCCTAACCCTTCTCTAAACCCCCCACCCCAGCCCCACCCTTGCCCCCCACCCCAGCCCCCCTCCCTACCCTGGTAGTATCGTGGCACTATACTGCCAGGGTAGGGAGTAGAGATGGCAACGGGTTGGGTTTGGTTCGGATATACCTTTACTCGAAACCGACCCGAAATTTTGATCGGATATTTTTTTTTGCCTGAACCCGACCGCCGGGTATAAATTCCTACCCGAACCCAAACCCGACTGCCTAAACTGAAACTCGAAACCGCAACCGAACCCGAGAATTTGACAAAAACCTAAGCCTAACCCGACCTGAAAACTGACCGACCCGACCCGTTGGAGATTCACCGACGTGTTCGCAGGAAGAGAGAGTTCGCCGATCGAGAATGAGAAGAATCGCCGGATTCGCCGATGTGTTCGCAGGAAGAGAGAGTTCGCCGATGGAAAATGAGAAGAATTGCCGGATTCGCCGATGTGTTCGCCGGTAGGAGGGCTGCCGAGTGCCGACTGCCTGTAGATACGAGAAACCGAGAGGAGATAGGGACTAGGGGGTTCTAGAACGGGAACAACCGTAAATCTCAGCAACTCCCTGTATGTAGCTTTGGACTTTTAATTGAAAAGGGTTTTTTTATATTTTAAAAAGGCCTTTTATTTCGGGTTAATTATCGGGTCGGTCGGGTACGGGTCGGGTCGGTCAAATTTAATTACCGAAAACCGATCCGACAAAAGTCGGGTTCGGTTTTGAAATCTTCGGGTTGGTTTCGGATATTAATTTTCCGGTCGGATTCAGATATTATATACTTCGGTCGGTTCGGAAAAAGTCGGATTCGGATAAAATTGTCATCCCTAGTAGAGACGGGAGGCGGGAGGGGGGCTGGGGTGGGGGGTTTAGGGGGAGGGTTAGGGGGGTAGGAACTGTTGTTTTTACAAACGGAGCACCGTAGATACCCCAAACGAACTAGTGTAAGCAAATGACACCAATAGCACTGGTGTCATTTTAGACTTACCGTATAATTAATATTAACAAAACATAAAAGAGTATTGCATCGGTTGTTAAAGAACACTGATGCCTTTGTTATATTAATTAAAAACTTAAAAAAAAATGGTATTAGCATCGGTTAAATGAAACAACCGATGCCTTTGTATTTTTTCAGAATTTCGAAACTTTAAAATTTGGTTTTAGCATCGGCTCTTGTAAACAACTAGTGCATTTGTTTAATTTTTGAGAATATTGCAAAATTAAAAATAGGTATTAGCATCGGTTGTTTTGAATAACCGATGTCATTGAGCTATTGCATCGGGTTTTGCAAAATAACCGATGCTAATGCCTATTTTTTCCAAATTTTATTTAAAAAATAACAATTGCTCGCTTTTGAAAAACAACAGATGCCTTTGCTCTTTTGCATCGTTTATTTTTGTATGCGATGCAATTGAGGAGGTTTTTTTTGTCTTTTTTAGTAGTGTGGATTCTTAAAAGTGCTTTTGTAGAAGGCGCATGGTACTCGGGGAGCATAGTGAACTTTGGGTCAAATTCGAGCTTTGCAGCTTCAATGAATGATTCATAAGGGGTGTGCATAGAGGCCCCAAGCACATTAGGGGGTAGCAATTCAGCACCAGGAGACGCATGCAGGGATGAATTAGAATCCCTCACTCCAACATGTGGAGTCTCTTCGGCGATAGAGCATAAATCAAACTCAGAGAAAGAGGACTCCATTATTTCCTTCCGAAGAAGATCGGATTTAAGCAAGAAGATCAGAGAACCAAGTCGAATCTAATCAAGAAGACGAGAGAGAATGAGGTTAGATCTAAGCAAGAGACGGGTAGGAGAAGAGGAATAGATTCAAAAGGGACTTTGTAATAAATGAAATACGGAATAAGATGAGGGAGAAAAAAGAGGGTGGATGGGTGAACGAGGACTGAAGTATCTTTTATGGAACAAAAGTATTGAGAAAACATGTCATTTTTCTTCATACTATGGACTGGAGTATCTTTTGTGGGACAAAAGTATTCGTATAAGTTAAAATTAATTTAACGAGCAAATCAACCACATAATGGTATGATATTGCTTCAATTTCAAGTATACAAAAGACTAAATCAAAATGACAAAAATTCTTCTTACTTTCTAATCCCTCTGTCTGGTCAAAAACATTTCATGTTTAACTTGATACAAAGATCATGAAAAAGGAAACTATACAAACTGAAAGTAATACAAAGACGAGAAATAAGGCACAAAAGCTTTTTCAAAAATGAAAAATAAAATGTTTTTTTAGGATGAATAAAATAAATGTAAAAGGATTGAAGGTATATGAAATTTTAGGATGTTAATGTAGCACTATGTCTAGAGTCTAAACTTACACTTAATAGGGTTCGGAACTCGCATTGTCATCACCATGGAATAAATAGGAAATGCTATCAAACGAACATTGAGCTTTGGCATTTCTAATATTTAATATGCAGCATTAAATATGTATTCCAAATTCTAATGCTAATCACAAAAATTGTTCCCAAAAGCTAATAACAATCATCCTTTGTTTTATTAGTCACTAAAACGCCATGGAACTTAAATAATAAAACAAACAATATGACAAAAACACTCTAAATGTTCTTCTGGTTCATGTCTTGTAGCCCCATCACCGTGCTTCAACATTTATAGAGTCTCTCCATTGTATCTTTCAACCGTTGAACATCAACTCCGACAAATTCAGAGTCCTTTTTACCATTGTGGAAGAACTGTACAGTCGGCTGCAGAGGCATTTTAACAATTTTATAAGAAAATGATACACCAATACCCATTTTTTCTTCTCACAAACGCAACAAAACAAAAAAACAAACAAAAAACAAAGGTGGGTTTGGTAGGATTTTTGTACTTGGCTAAACTTTCAAGTACCCCATTAATATATGGAGTACTGTTTTTTATTATTAAAGTATTTATGGAGTACTAAGTATACTTGACTTTTCAAAAATGTATTCCAATTTCCAACATAAGTTCCTTTACAGTAAACAACTTTTACTACTAAATCGACATTCAATAAATGTAACTCTCACAAACCAGAAATCTAAACAAACAATGGAAACGAGAAGAATGAGGCAGGGAACATCAAAATCAAGCATACACTACATATGTTTTTTTTAAAACCAACTCTTATCCCAAGTATGCATCATGCAAGGTTTAAATAAATTGGTGGTTGATAAAGGGTGAGTAAAAAGTTACCAAATCCTAAAACATGCATAATCTCACGAAGATTGTTCCAAGCGAGTATTATGTGCCAAGTAAAATGCAACCCTAGAAAAGATAAGTACAGAGTAGATTTTTTACCACAGAGAAAATTTTCAATTTGGTCAATGCACCCCCAAGCTCCTGCACATGAAAAAAATCGATAAAAACGGATGAATATTGCATCAAATGTAAACACAACACTTTGCATGCCACTAATGCTAGATAGATCACCAGTGATCCAAGTACCAAGTGCCAACTAGTACAACCCATCAGTAGTTTATGAAGGCTTACACCATCTCAAATCTGATGCAGAAATCAAGATCCCAACTAGTAAGTAGTAACAACAGCCAAATATTCACTTATCAGCAAGTCTTTCTATGCATGTCTGATGCAGAAATCAAGATGCCAACTAGTAAGTAGTAACAACAGCCAAATATTCACTTATCAGCAAGTCTTTCTATGCATGCAATGCAGTATTTACTGAATATATTTTGGGATATTTGATATTGACATGCAAAGTTTACACTAGTATTTGGCTTTCAGCCTATGATTTATTTTTTTTCAGAATACACCCTAAGTGGAATGCAAAGTCAAATACCCCTTTGGTCCTAAATTTATCTTGACAGTTGCTTTTTACAATATTTTGGGATATTTGGTATTAACACGCAAAGTTAACACTAATATTTGGCTTTTCAGCCTATGATTTATTTATTTATTTTTTTCAGAATACACCCTAAATGGAATGCAAAGTCAAATACCCCTTCGGTCCCAAATTTATCTTGACAGTTGCTTTTTACACGGTGTTTAAGAAATGAAATTAGTGGAGTACTAGTTTGTATTTACAGTTTGCTCCCGATAGGCCTTGTATCTTGCTTTATCCCTACATCTGTAACCCTAAACCCGATTACAAATATAGTCATAAGCTACCTGCTACCCAGTTGGGTAAGTCGCATTGGTATTGCACATGGTATCAGACCCTGTACAATTAAACTAACTTTTCTTCTTTTTCTTCCTGCTTGTGCAGCCGTCCTCCTGCCGGTGCCAATCTAACTACGGTGGACAAGGTTTAGGTCGAGAACCGGTACCAGAACTAGCGGTTTTGGAACCAGTTCACTTAAGATTCTGCCCGTGGGACCCAAAACCGGGTCATTTCCACCCCTAATTCTGATGCTCCGCAATGTTCTTTGATGCTGCCATTGCTTGCAATTTCTCTACATGAAATCCAATGCACCTTCTTGCACTGCCCGACATCTACCATTGCGTATTTTCTCCTCCATGCTGGTTTGCACTGATGTTCTAATCGCTGTGTTTTCCAACGTCTACCATCTCGTGTTGGGGAAGCAAGGACGAAACACAACGGAAGCGAATTAAATCTTTTTCCCAAATAAACGAGATGAATGACAAGGCACAATTGACTCGGAAAAATCAAGAGCACCAACACAAATAAATAGGAATGGAAATAAAGTTGAAAACAAACAATTTACGTGAAAACCCCAAATCGGGAAGAAAATCATGACCGTTCAACAACGGTACCAAAACTTCCACTAATCACCAAGAACCAAGTGGGTACAAGTTCTCCTCTCTAGTAAACACTAGAAGCAAATAAAATCATCAAGGAGCAACCTTAAAACAACAACAATCAACAATTTCAACAAAAATGAAGCATAAACTCCCAAAATTGCAGGTACAAAGAAGCTGCCACAAAACTACCTTTCGAGCATCAAAATGAGAAACTGATCGTTGCATTTGAAAAAGAGTATGTGAGGAACATACTAAAATTTGAGTACAATCGGACATCGTTTGGCCTTGATCCAAAAGCAAAATGTGGTTGTTGCACAGTATGATGAAAATGGAGGTTTTTTCCTCATTCCATTCTGTTTCAAATTGGCTACTACTTGTCACAACTCTCTATTTATATTCTTTTATCTCCTTACTTAACCACTCAAAAAGAGACTCAAATGGGCCAAGTTGAAATAACATTTGTGCTAAAAGTTGCACATAAAAAATAAGCCCAAATAAATATTTGAGAGATGAAATGTTCAATAAAATTGACACTTTCTCCATGTACGAGGGATATTTCCCAACAAATCTCCCCCCTCACCGACTTACTCCTACATGGAGTGAGCAATCAAACCGTTCTTTGGATCACAATGAAGAAGGTAGTTTCCTTGGTCCAAACCAAGCTCCTCAAGGAAATTCCTCATCCATAACAACTCCTTCCCTGCCTCAAAAGCTGCTACATACTCTGCCTCAGTAGTGGACATAACAACAGACTTCTGCAATCTTGATTGCCATGAAACTGTAGCTCCAGCAAATGTCATCAAATATCCCGAGATAGACTTTGCAGTATCAACATCTCCAGACATATCTGCATCTGTGTACCCATCTAACACAGGTTGTCCAGTACCAAAACATAAACAAACTCTGTACCTCTAAGATATCTGCGAATTCACTTCACGGCTGCTCAGTGCTCTTAACTCGCATTCAACATGTAGCGACTAACGACCCTAACTGAATGTGCAATATCCGGCCTCGTACAAACCATAGCATTTAACAAACTACCCACGGCTAAGCATAAGGCACCTTGTCCATCTCTTGCTTTTCTTTCTCACTTGAAGGACATTAGTCCATACTCGACATCATGTGGCCTGCAAGTGCAAGCATAAGGCACCTTGTCCATCTCTTGCTTTTCTTTCTCACTTGAAGGACATTAGTCCATACTCGACGTCATGTGGCCTGCAAGTGGAGAGCTCACAAGTTTAGCATTGCTCATGTTGAACCTACTAAGCCCCTTCTCAATATATCTCTGCTTTGATAGCCAAAGTTTCTTGTTCTTATTGCTCATGTTGAACCTACAAAGCCCCTTCTCAATATATCTCTGCTTTGATAGCCAAAGTTTCTTGTTCTTTCTATCACGAATGATCCTCATGGTTAAAATCTCTTTAGCAGGGCCTAAGTCCATTGCAGAGGACTTACCCAATCACTTCTTCAAGCTAGCAATCTTCTAGGTGTCTTGCCCAACAATCAACATACTATCTACATATAAAAAGAGAATAAGAAAATCACCATCGAAGTAATTTTTCACAAAGACACAACGATCAACATGCGTTTTGTGGAAGCCATGATCAACCATAAAGGATTCAAACTTCTTATACCACTGTCGAGGTGCCTGTTTCAAACCATACAAACTTTTCTTCAAATGGCAAACCAACTTCTCCTTTCCCTTAACCTGAAAGCCTTCAAGTTGCTCCATATAGATTTCCTCATCAAAATCACCATGAAGAGATGTTTTCATATCAATCTACTCAATCTCCAAATCCATGCTAGCAGCTAGGCCAAGTATATCTTAAATAGAGGACACCTTCACAACTGGAGAAATATCTCATCAAAATCTATGACCTTCTTCTGAAGGAATCCCTTCACAGCCAATCTTGCCTTGTACCTTGGTTGTGAGCTACTCTCATCACACTTTAATCTGTATACCCACTTGTTCTTGAGTGTTCTTTGGCCCTTAGGAAACACCACAAACTCATATGTATGGTTTTCATGCAAGGATGCCATCTCATCTTGCATGGCATCATGCCACTTCTTGCGGTCCACATGTGACATAACCTCATCATGTCTTTGGCTCTCCTCCATCAGTGACTAATTCAAAATCATCCTTTGAAAGTCTCGTGGAAGATTTTCTAACTCTGGTAGACCTTCTAACCTGAGATGGTGGTGTTGGCTCTGAATGTGGTTGACTCTGGAATATCATCATCACCATCATCATCATGATGGTCATCTTCAGGTCAGCATGATTGTGCATATCTCCCCCATGATCTTAAGGGACTACACAAGGAAGAGATGGCAATGGATCAACTGTGCCCAAACTCATCCTATAAATATCCCAAAAATATGCACTCTTTGGTCTTCTTATCAAGCTTCGATCTCCCATCTCTAGGAATATGAACAAATGCTCTGCAACCAAAGACTCAAATGCTTATAGGAAACATCTTTCCCGGACCAAACTCTTTGAGAAACATCACCTTCAAGAGGAACAAAGGGGAAAGGTTGATCAAGTACACAGCAGTGAACATTGCCTCTGCCCAAAAGGACTTTGGCAACTTAGCATGAGATAGCATGCATCTGATTCTCTCTTCAATTGTTCTTTTCATTCTTTCTGCAACTCCATTAAGTTGAGGTATCTTTGGAACTCTTTTCTAAAGCCTGATGCATTGACTCCTACAGTAGTTCTCAAATGGACCCCCAAACTCGCCACATTATCTGACCTGACACACTTGAGTTTCCTGCCACTTTCTCTTTCAACTCTGGCATGAAACTCCTTGAAAGCGTCAAGTATCTAATCTTTATTTTTCAACACAAATTCCCACACTTTTCTAAAAAAAATCACCAATAAAAGTCACAAAATATTGTGAACCAAGATGTGATTTAGCATCCATACTTCCATAGAGCAAACATCAATGTGAATAAGATCTAAAACATGCTTTCTTCCATGTGGGGGACGTGTACGGAATGCAACTCTATGTTATGCAGGCCAGAGTATGTAGTGGAGATGCCAATGTAGCAGTTGATGTCTCGTGAATTGTGGCATAAGAGATTTGGCCACATGAGTGCCAAAATGTTATTTTATCTTGGCCCATTTGAGTCTCCTTTTGTGTGCTAAGAAAAGAGATAAAAGAAAAAATAAGAAAGTTGTGACAAGCAGCAGCCAGTACACAACTGAAAGGAAAGAGATAAAAACCTTCATTTTCGTCCTTCTGTGTAGCAGCAATGTTTTGCTTTCGGATCAAAGGCCAAACGAAGTCTGATTGTGCTTAAATTTTAGTATGTTGTTCCTCACATACTCCTCTTCAAATCCAAGAGTCAGTTTTTCATGTTGATGCCCAAAAGGTAGTTTTCTCGCAGCCTCTTTGTACCTGAAATTGTAGGAGTTTTTACTCCATTTTTGGTGAAATTATTGATTGTTGTCGTTCCAAGGTTTGCTCCTTGATGATTGTATTTGCCTTTAGTGTCTACTAGAGAGAAAAACTTGTACCCAGTACCCACTTGGTTCTTGGTGATTAGTTAAAGTTTTGGTACCGTTGTTGAACGATCGTGGTTTTCCCCCTGATTTGAGGTTTCCACGTAAATTGTGTGTT